AAAAGAAATAGAATGAGTGCAGGGACTTGGGTGCTCTTAATGCACCTGAGACAAAAGCAGATGTTTTGCCTACCATCTGGCTGCTTTCATGTATTCATCAGCTGAGATAAAAATCATGTATATATCAGCACCAAGTTTAATGTGAAACACACTCGGGACAGATGGCATTAACTGGTTTCATGTACCCTTGTGTACTGGCTAGTCACATTCTTGGAAAAACAACTTATCCTTTCACCAGGTGTCACAGTAAGGAAATCATACAGCAGTCATCATATGTATAAAATTGTGCTTGTGTTTATGAAATGGTGCTTTTTTCCCGAGAGAATTGATTCCATAGATGGTTTAAATGCTTCATAACTGTGATAAAAGCAATTAAGTTATTTTGTTCTTTACGTTTGGCACTGGTAGTTTTCGAACTGTGTGATACTGAGAGAAAAAGCAAGCAGAACACAATGGAGAAAAGGAAAATAGAGATAAAAGAGCAAAACCAGTGGTTTGGATATTGTTATTTTGCAGCTATACATGTAGATGGCAGTTACACATGCACTGTAAGAGCAGTTGCTCTGGTGGCTGAGTAGCAGTAAATGGAAAGTATTTGTTCTAGTAGCTTCCAGAGTTACAGTGCGTATTTAACAAATCAAAGAACATTGCTGGTCCTTCCTAGAGCATTCAGCCATGGAAAACAGAATGAGAAAAGAACAGAAGAGGATTTGCCAGGTCCAGAGCACACAGGCTGTCAGGGCCCAGCACAGTTTTTACAAAGAGGAGAACAGGATGAAGCTGGAAAGGGGATTAAGAGTAGTGAAGGTGGAGGATGTTTGGTTGATTTTTTTATTTTTTTAAGGTAGAAAGAGAATCTAGAGGCTTTCAGATTAGGTCTTCCTTGTGAGTTAGCAACTTAACGGGTAGATTTCATTCAGCTAGTGATCAAAGAGGAAATGGACTGTGGACAAGCATGTATTTGACTAGAGCAGGACTTAAAAGTGGTTTGGGGGGCTGATGAAGCACGAGCTAAGTGTGTTAACTCCTGGAACTGAATGTCCTTGGAGCAACCAGCAAGACAGGAGATCTTGGCAATGCCAGTTTGGATGGATAGAGGAAAATGAGCCTGGTATTTACAGTGGATTGTCTACTCCCTTTGAGATCTCAAGCGAACTTTTCTGGTAATGGACTAGGAAGCTGTTGCAGTATGTATCATGTCTACTTACCCAAAACCCTGTCTTATATTCTTGTATTATCTGTAGAAAAATAATACTTAACAGCCCTGTTCTATGCAGCATCAGTGCAGTGTCCTCAGGAGATTCTGCCAATGTACCTGAACAAAAGACTTATCACTCATTAGTTGGTGTCTTTTAAGTTTTTTTATTTTATGTCAGAAAATTACTTTTAAATGCCAGCCTACTGCTTTCCTTAGTCATTCTGCCAATTGCAAGTAATTATGCAAGAAGTAGCATGTATGTATGGTAGTAAAATAATTGAAGACTTAGATTCAGGTATGACATTTTAAATGGTAATTCTGCTGGTGTAGGAAGAAATGCTGCTGCTATTGAAAAGACTAAGTGTCAACACATTAAAAGAAAAAAAAAATACCCCACAGAATTAAGCAAGGAAAACATTCAGAACAAAATAGGTTTCTGTGAATTTTCTTCTTAGGATAAGGACATTTCAGAATAGAAGAGTGGGATGCAAGGTTTTTTTCAAGTCTACTCAATATAAAAATGCTTTATTGACTCATGTGAGCAGGTTGTCATCAAGGCTGTATCCATGCTTCAGAAAAGGATGGGTGACAATCACAGAGTAAGAAAGCAAGGATCTGTTCCCAGTGTAGACTATTAGAGGTGGCAGAATTTTCATGGAATTTCAGCTGTTCAGTCAGTAAAAGTATTACAGCACAGCTCTGGAAAGCAGGGATACTAGTTGTGGAAACCTGCTGGAATCTTATGAGTCCCTTGGTTAGCAAAAGATCCAGTTAAGTAAATGATTTTTGATTTCAAGCAGAGGATTTTGTAAAAGGAAAATAGTGTAATAGCGTGTAAATTATCTTAGCCGCAGGATAATCTGGATGTGCTTGGATTGCTGCTTGGAAAGACATTAGACCTTATACTAAGACCCCTTTTCTAAGCTGATACTGAAAATGACCTTACAATGTTTATAAAATAACTTGTTACTTTTTTATAGGCACTTAAACTTCCAGAGTACTGTTATTGTGTATTAGATCGTAAATTCCTGGTAGTTCACTTGCAAATCAGTGCTATTTTCTGACTATTTCTCCATACTTTTAAGCAAGTATACTAATTATTTCTACTTTTATAGTCCTGCTGAGCTTATTTATTCCGTCAGTTGGAGTATTATAAGTGATAACATGCATATTCCTTTTGATGTTGATTAATAGCAGATCTGCTACTGGATTCTTATATTAAACACTGCAGTGCCAGACAACCTGTGCTCTGAATAATTCATGAAGAAGAGGATTAGAGGCAGGCCACACAGATACATATTTCCATGTGAGTTTAGTTAGACCTTAAAGCAGGGAATGTACACTTCAGAGTCTCCCTGAGCATTGATTCTTTTATTCTTTATTCTCATTTCATCTTCTTTTGCTTTTTCTCTGAACTCCTTTCAGTCTACCTTGATTACAAGGCCCCTCAAGGGTGAATGTAGGGTTTCAGGAATGTTTTGCCAGTTGCCTTATGGCTAATTCTTCACCATACTTGGTCAGCTTTTATTTTATAAAGTACAGTTACTGCATGGGAAATAAGAAGACGTAAATTGTTCTGACTAAAGAGGGAGACATAATTCATTCTATATATAGCATCTCCAAACTGAGTAAACCTTGAGCATTCCAGCATTTCAAAAGATGATGAGACAGTAATATAAATAAGACAACAATGTGAAGTTTAAGAATTGATTTAATAAAACCCACAATAAAGCAACACTTTTTTATATAATTAAACATGTAGTAAATTATTAAAAAAACTCCAAATACAATACATGTCTACTGTACTTCAACTTCTAATTACATCAACTGTAAACCCCAATTTAATTAAAACCTATTTGAGTATTAGTATGTGCAAAATACCTGTTGTTTGTCTGTGGTATTTTTTTTCCAGTAAGTTTGTAAGGATGGGATGCACATTCTTCATGAACTGTGATATGGCTTAATTAATGATTGTTTTTGTACTGAAGCATTAACTTCCCAAGTACAGTGTTACTTGGCCTCTGAGCTGCGTGTGCTCCCATGCTGTACTCAAATGTTCCCATTTCTTCCCAGAACAGATACAAACATAATCCAGTGTTACATGCACTTTGTCCACATTAATACTGTGCTGTCAGGTTTTTTTACTGTGCTGTCAGTTTTCACCAATGAAAGGTCATCATGTGACCCCTACCTCGCATAAGGAGAGACAAGAAGCCAAGACTGTGACCCCAAACTGCAGGTATAGATCAGCCTGACGAGTATGTGAAACCCTAGCAAGTTTCAGAACAGACAATAGCTTAAGTATTCACAGTTAAATGTCAGAATATCCATTACTGGGCAAAAATTTTCCTTTCTGATCCACACAGAGAACTACTTTTGATGTCAGTGGAAGTTCTGTATAAAGATCAAAGTACAGAATAAGCAAAAAATCTCTGAGCCAAGTTCTCCCATCTTCTGAACTTTGCAGGTCATACTCTTGTTGCCCTTAGCTTCTTCAACATAAATGACTTCAGAAGCAGGCGCGCATCTGCGTTTTAAGGTGTACAATAGCATGGTGTCAGGTTTGGTTATCCGGTGTACATTCGGAGTACAGGGTTTCCACCGCAAGGTGGAGAAACTCATTTTTGTGGATTTTGAGGTGTCCAGATGAATAAATAGTCTTCAAATTGCCTCATCCTTCTGTAAATAAGAAAAGGCCTTTCTACCTCTGTTGGGTGTTATATTTTTGCCCAACATGTTACATTACTAAACTTGCTTGGATTTTGCTTTATGAGTAAAGCCAGGTAGTGGGGACCGTTACTGCAGTGACATTCTTATCAGGATACTGAGAAAGTGTGATCAAAGCAAAGCTGAAAAGGTCAGAGATAGCTGTGACTGAGGGAATAGTACATACCTAAAACTTCCACTTTCCTGTTAGATGTATTTTGCGTGTCTGTTGGTTGTGTTTGAGAGTATCTCCATGTCAAGCATAGTTTCTGTCATTTGACTTTTCTTTCAAAACAATCTTGGAAAAATAATCAATTACAGGACATTTATTAATTATAATAGAAGGCATGCGAATCAACTGGCCTTTTAATGTCAATCAAATGTTGGTTTAGACATTCAAGATCATTAACAACAAACTCATCTTACAAGTCAAAACTTTTTAAATAAATAACCTGTTTCTAATGTATAAACCCTATTCTAAAATACATTAAAGATAACTGATCACCTAAAACACTTTGGGTCCAGTGCTGGGTCTCTAGTTAAATACCAGAAGTCTGGGCAAGGATCTTTCTGTCTGGATCTCTGAATGCCCAGATTAAAGCTAACTTTCTGGTCTGGGTACAGTAAATGCTGTATTTTGCAGTCTCTCCAAAGAGAGAGTTTCCAAAAGTATTCAACTAGCACTGTATGCATTATAGTCTTAAGATACTTTACAAAAATTACTATTGCAAAAATACTGTATAATGATTTCAGGGATCATGACATATTATGACATTCTGGCATGATCAGCATTAGAGACTTGAACTGAAATACTGAATACTTGATGCTCCATTTGGAGTGCAGGTACTTTGTGGTACATAGTTATTCAAGGACAATATGGGACTGTAATTTGTGAGGTATCTGCAGAGTCATGTTGCAGTTTGTAAACAATCTGAAAACAGCTTTGTCTCCAAATCATCATAACTTGAATAAACCAGTAAAAGGGAGAGAGTGAGATACATGTTCTGAAGGGCAACCACTGCACTTTTTGCAGCACCAGTTCTCCCTGCTGCATATTACATGGTACAAATCCACATATTAATGGTTTCTGTTTGACCATTTTCATTTTGCATTTATTGCTCTCAGTCTTTGACTACAAGATAAAGAATAAGGCAGCAGTTCCCAAAACATACGAAATCAGGCACTGGAATTCTGACAACTTGCGCAGGTTTTGCTCATTTCCTGTTTGTAACTCTGAAGCTGCACAGAGCACTTGTACATTCCAAATGTGTTCAGCAGCAGCTGTCGAGCCTTGGACTGAACTTCCTCCCATTTAGATGAACTACCAGGAACTGGAAAATCAAGACAATAATTAATAGAATTCCCTCCTCAAGAAACCTGGACAACCCAGTGTTACCAACTAGAATGTGTTCTCGTTCACTTATCCATACTGTTCTGTGGTCATTATGTGCTCTCTATGTATTTTACATTTAGGTCTAATTCCTTGAACTAGAATCACACTTGATAAAACTGTCTGTGTTAGGTGCCACCCCCCCCCCAAAAAAAAAAAAAAGAGCTTTCTGACTAAGAATTATTATTCATGATAGTTAGGTGTCTAAATCAGCACGTTTTGGCAAAACGTATTTATTTTTCCTGTCAGATTGTTCTACGTTAGAGCTTCACCCTGTCTTTCCCTGGACAAGTAAGGGAATTTCTGAAGAGAAATTCTACACGTACATACATACACCCAGGAATCTGTATTGGATATTTCAGTATGAATGTGTTTCTTCGCACAGTTTTCATTTACATTGACTTTCTGGGCAAATGGGTTTTATAACTTACTCTACAAAGCCACAGTTAGCAAACATCCTCCCTGCAATGATATTTCGGTTCAACTTAAATAACAATTAGAAAAGAAAGTGTTAGATTTTTTGGTTTGGGGTTGTTTTTTTTTCTACACTTACCTTTCATTTAGAATCATTGTGTTTGGAATTACAGTACACAGCAGCTTACCTAGTTGCAAGTGGACTATGGCAGTTGTTTTTCCGGCAGTAAGAGACCAAACATTTAAGTCTTCTATAGAATAAACATCTTCAATTTTCATCAAGTCTTCCTTAATGCGATCCACATTTAAATGCCTTGGAACCCCTGTGATACCAAACATGAGACAAAATTAATTCTGTCTTTTGCAGACTCTCAGTGGCCTTTAAAATGCCATGGCAGATCTCAAGAGTTCATAAATTGTGATCAGTAACTTCCAGGTTATCATTAGAAAATATGCAAATTGGCATATTAAGTCAAATATGGATACAGAAGTTGTACATTAACTACAGTGTTTTCTTAAACATAATTTGTCCTGTGCAGAATCTCTAGCAATAGCCAGTATTAGATCCTTTGGTGCAATGTAGACATTACTGCAGCTTCTAACCCCTTGTGACTGGTTAGACCAGACTCTAAGCTCAGAATCTAAAAAAACAACAATATGGGTAACCCCCATTTTCAAGAAGGGGAAAATGGATGATCCAGGGAATTACAGACCAGTCAGTCTCACCTCTGAGACTGTGAGCTGGGCTGATACCAGCCTTATGAAGTTTAACCATGAGAAGTGCAAGGTCCTACACCTGGGTCGGAGCACTCCCAGGCACAGCTACAGGTTGGGCAGGAAAGAGATTCAGAGCAGCCCTGCGGAGAAAGACCTGGGGGTGCTGGTCAGTGAGAAAATGAACATGAGCCGGCAGTGTGTGCTTGCAGCCCAGAAAGCGAACCGTATCCTGGGCTGCATCAAAAGGAGTGTGACCAGCAGGTCGAAGGAGGTGATCCTGCCCCTCTAATTTTAATCTGCTCTTGTGAGACCTCACCTGGAGTACTGTGTGCAGTTCTGGTGTCCTCAACATAAAAGGACATGGAACTGCTGGGACAAATCCAGAGGAGGGCCACGAGGATGATCAGGGGACTGGAGCACCTCCCACATGAAGATAGGCTGAGAAAGTTGGGGCTGTTCAGCCTGGAGAAGAGAAGGCTGCATGGAGATCTCACAGCAGCCTTCCAGTATCTGAAGGGGGCCTATAGGGATGCTGGGGATGGACTACATTCATTAGGGACTGTAGTGATAGGACAAGGGGTAATGGGTTAAAACTTAAACAGGGGAAGTTTAGATTGGCTAAGGAAGAAATTCTTTCCTGTTAGGCTGGTGAGGCACTGGAATGGGTTGCCCAGGGAAGTTGTGAATGCTCCATCCCTGGCAGTGTTTAAGGCCAGGCTGGACAGAGCCTTGGGTGACATGGTTTAGTGTGAGGTGTCCCTGCCCGTGGCAGGGGGGTTGGAACTAGGTGATCTTAAGGTCATTTCCAACCCTAACTATTCTATGACTCTAGGTAGGCCCTGTGTCCTGAAACTTCTCTCTTCAGGTACCTGGTACCATTTTCAAATGCTCCTAGCAATCCATCTGCAGTGGTTGACACATGACTTTCATCTTACAGATTAGCATCGTTGCACACCAATGACTGCACTGACCAAGACGTTCTAGACATAGTACTTTCAGCAGCTACAGCACTTCTATAGCTTCCCTACTCCACCCTTTAGCTCTACAAAGAGCAGAATCAAATATTTAAATGATCAACATGGGTCAAAAACTAGCATAAAATTACTGAATAAACTGTTTCCAAACAGTTTTGTTTCTATCGTAGCTTTTTACTGCTCATCTTTTGGTTTTATGGAGTTTGATTATTTATGCCATGAGGTGTTCAGCCACTTGCTTCTCAATTTTCTTCAGAATTTCTGAAGTGACTCCTCTCTGAACTTGTTATTTCACTGTCTTTTAAATCATGTTAGTTCCAGTACCATCTCTTTTGAAACTTCAGCATCTTCAGACTTCCATGCTGCCTTTAAATATATTTTAAAAGCTAGAATCTCATTGCTTTTATTAGATAATCATTTAAGTTTTTAATTCAGTATTCCTACTATAATGATGAAACTTAAGTTAAAATTAATACTGAATTCTGATAAAAATTCAAGGACCTTGATGTTGTGATAGTAGTTTCCAATATAAATTGCAAGTTCATTCTCTGGAGATCATGGATCTGAGTTGGAAAAATTCCCTAGCATACATACACCCCACCTACCATCACTTTTAATAACATCATTAATTTGAAGATTTTATAACAACTGGGATACCGATGCAAACAGCTACAACTCAAAACATCTGGAATTTGATGCACCATCTGTTTTCTTCAGCTAAATCTTAGCTATTGCCTTGGAGCTGACTGAGGTTTCTTAAGCAAATGTCACCATTTTTGCCTTCTCAGTGAACTTCCATTTTGTTAGATTGTTGTGTTGGGATTGGTTTTTTTTTTCCCCTAAATGACAGCAAAAGCACTTGACATTGAAGATTTTGAGGCTCCTGGTTAAGCCTTGCGTCAATAACAGCTCACATGAGACAGCTAGGAAGGTGCAACTGAAACTGAGGATTTTTCTCCCACCCCTAACACCTTCACTTTCTTAAGGTAAAAGTACAAGATCAAGCAGTAGTAGTTGGCATGTTAGCTGTGATAATGCAAATAATGCTGCCATCTTTCCTTCTAAGTCGCTACATGAGGTAACATGCTTTAGTTTTTGTTCAGCTTTTCTTTCCTTTTTTCCTTATTCCTATTTACACCGCTCTTTTACATGTAGCTTCACCTATGGTAACAGTAGAAGCATGCAAGTAATACAACAGTACCTGTGAAAAGGAGAAGACGAGACAGACATGAACCACCTGTCCAGCCATTTGTCTTATTCTTGCTTTCTCCTTTTACATGCTTTCATACTCACTTTAACTTTACAAGTGATTAAAGGGCAAGTGTAGAACTGAGACAGGGCAAATATTCACTTAGTTTAGCTGACAGCCACTCAGACACACCAGAAAGTTCCATACGTTTCACTTCACCATCTCCAAATGGGGAAGAGCTATGACTCGTGTGATTCTGACAGAGGTCAAAGGCACCTTAAGACTTCTGTGATCTAAATGAGCCATCAAGAACCAACAGACTAAAGAAGCAAGAGGATAAACAGGTTTCCAGACACAATCCACTTTGTTTGAGATGGTAATTACAATGTCAAAAAAAGTGCCACTGCTCATTGGTATTTGACATGTAAAGTGCTGCAGACTGTGCACAGACCTTACCTTCCAGAATAATAACTCCTGTGTCACACAGAATTCGAACTGTTGTCAAAACCACCAGTATGGAGAATACATATGTACATATAGGATCAGCAATCTTGTATTCTGGCTGCAAGGGAAGTTCCAAAGTGTTAAAGCATATATGAAAATAAGCTCACTTACTTAAAAAGCGTGACTCAGAAAACAGTTACTTCTAGCTCCATCTTTCATGTTTTTTTTTTGTTTGAAGAGTTACAAAATACATAATACAGTTTGCTTATTTTGCATGAATGTATGAAGCTTAAAACAGAATATCACAATATATTTGTTTAATAACTTATAAAACCAAGTCCCTTTTTAATCACCAGACTTGAACTGAAAACAATTCCCCCTGCCTCAAAGGCTGGCCATTCCTTACCTTAAAGCGTATTATGTATGCAGCCACGAGCACACCAATACTTTGTACCAGGTCCCCAAGGGCATGTACAAACGCTGCTCTGACGGCAAGGCTGCTGTGCCCGTGGCTGCTGCTGAGGGCTGTGTTAGGAGAGTTCGACTGAGGTACATGAGAGTGAGGGTGGGAATGGGAGTGGGAGTGAAGGTGGCCAGACTGATTCAGCAAAAAACCCATTCTGAAAGTGAAAGAAGAAAAACAGGCTTTAGGGTTGGGGTTTTTTTTCCCTTTTAAACTAACGAATTGAAAAAATAATACTTAGTATCATTTCTTGTCTTATGAAGATGTCCAGCAAAATTACATTCCACGAGAAAGATACAGGCCATGAATGAATTAGCAGCTTATTCAGAAATACATTTATGAGTGTTAATGAAAAGAAAGGGAGATCTTACATTAAGTTAACTGCAACACCAACGGCTGCTGTTATCAGCATGATATCACCATTTATTTCATAGTCCATATGGATAGTTCTTTGAACGGCTTCATACAAGAGGAATGCCATAAGGATATAGACCAGCAGTACACTAATGATGGCAGACAATACCTCTGCAAACAGAAAGGAAACAACATTACAAAAGTGAGTCTAAGCCTCTTGACATATGTTTACATACACATTATCTACTGCAGATTTCAGCTATGAAGGACTGTTTAATGTGTTTCTGTATAGCTGTAATATGCTGTTTTAACATTATCTTACATTTAGCAAATACTCGTATTTTACAAGAGTAAGAGTGTTATGACCAAGATTTTGATGTAGGAATTATATCCAATCAGCAGGGATTTGCAAAAGGGCACATATACCTAAGTAAAATTAGGGAAAAAACTTCCTATTCTTTCATTGTGCTGTGCCTTCCGCTGCTGTTTACATCTGTGGGAAGTGGTTACAGTTCTCCACAAAGCTCCTGCTGTTCTGATGTGAGGTGAATAGGCCTGAATATTTTATGGGTCAGGACCTTAGTGCTGTCTGCCTCACTACCCAAGTCATGAAAGTGGGCTGGTAATAGCGTACATAAACCTGAGGACAGTGAGTTCACACTACAGTTTTAAGGTCCTACCACAGAGAATATAGGTATTTCCAAATGGGTCATTAGGTTCCTTTTAATATGAACATACTTTTAACTTCTAGCTTCATATTCTGAAAATGACTGCCATGTTGTAGCTGAAATCTAAACAGAAACACACAAATAAAAAAGGAAAAATACCTGACAGAGAAAACATTGGCTCAGTTAAGACTCTTGGTTATAAGCAAGTTAATATAGGGTTTTACAAAAAACACAGGGGAAAACTTTAATGCCAGCTCCATTGTATTGCATGTGAATTCATGGGCATGCCTGAGTAATCTGTAATCATTATGCGTAGCACTCATTACTGTCATTTGCCAGATGGATCACCAGGATCTCAGCTTTCCTCTGTGAATTCAAAGATCAGGGTTGGAATTAATTTACTTGGAATTTTAATAGCTGTTCTTCCCCCTTGTTCACATAAGTTGCCCTGATTTATTCTCCAGTAAGGACAAAATTCTGCTCTTGGCTTTACCACAGTTCTAAGAATACTGATCTGTGAAGTTCCTCACTTCTGCCTCTGCTTTTGATCTGTAGTACAACTTTGGTTACTGCTGAAGGTGTCATTTGTAACACAGAACTGCCTTAACTGTATTTATTGAATATTACAGTAAAAAACATGCTGCTATATAAGCATTTTAATATCGCCCAAATCACTTGATCCACATACGGAATTTTTAACATCGTTATGGGAAAAGAAACTCACCCACACGTTCAGCTGTTCGGCAGTGTGTCAGTGCCTGGACCAGTACCAGCATTACCAGGCCATAACAAGGCTCTGGATGGCAACTGTCACAATCTCAAGATGATTTCAGAACGACATGAAAATCCTGGAAATATCTGTGCAAGTGGCAGTGTTCTGTACAAAGCAGGCAGATTATTCAGGGCAACAGCCTGAAGAAACCTCAGTACATTCCTTAACAGGTTTTCCAGAATGCTTTTAAAAAATTTTGTGAAGCACATTAGCATTTACCAGAGAAATTACATATTGTGGTTTTACAATGGAAAACCATGTTTTCTGAAATGGAAACCAGTGTTTCCCTTGCAGTTTCTTTCACAAGCCCACTGTAATGTCAGCCTTGTAGATTTGTGCAGACATCTTTCACTTCTTGTGAAACGAACTGTATACTGTCTCAGTGGACTGACTGATTCTGTCATTACTAACATTGTGTTTGCAGCAATGGAAAAATGCCAGGTCCCATATCTATGCTTAAATCTGCTCAGTGCCTCACTGAGAAGGAGTTATCTCCACTTCGTGGTGAAACAGAACTATTTTGGCTTCAAGAATATAATCCTTTTTAGACATGACTGCAATTTCCATTATTTTGTCTTCACTTTTCTAATCCATTTCTGAATCTGTCAGCTTCCTTTTCATCACTGAAAATGGAATAAAACTGAAGATGGAGTAAAACTGAACATAAGAGTATACGTATTATATACTCAAGGAGAATTCAAATAAATGAGAACTAGTGTGAATTCCCATCTGGAATTTGATGAGACACCTTAATATGCCTGCTGTCTTTACAATGCAATGTGTATGGGAATAAGTTCGAAAATTCATCGTTCTGCAAACAAAAGTCATAATGAGCACCAGAAACACTGCTCATTAGAATGTTTTCATGCTTACTGTATGTATGGATTATCTTGAAAATTAATGCAGAGCAGGTCAGCAATGAGAGTTCTTACACACATTCCCATGTTCAACAAATGCGCCCTATTTTTATTGTGACAGATGCTCAATCTGTACTGTTTTTCTAACATTGTCATGTTTTAGCATCTTTCATGAAATATAAGCTATTGTTGAGCCTGTATTATTTGTTGACAAGCTTCTTGCATATAGAGTATTTGGAAAGATGAGCTGCAGCGAGGATATACCCGCAAAGCAACTTCCTTCCATTGCCAGCATTTGCTGATGTGTGAAACTGGGCCCTCAGGCCATGGCATTCAGACTCCATGCCTGAAATGAGGCAAATCGATTTCACAGATGTGACTGCAAAAAGAAACCTGTGTATAGTAATTTTGAAACATCTCGTTATTCTGTACTTGTAGAATCTAGGTCAAGGTTTGGGGGTCTCTTGCAGGGCCTTTACTCACTTCCCCTTCCTCACTGCAGACACAGAAGCTCTTCTCCCCACTTCCAGTCTCCTTTACAGAGGGCTGCACTGTTACTATTTACACAGAATGGCTGAAGTAGAAGGGAACCCCTGGAAACTCTACAGTCCTGCTCAAAGCAGGGTCAGCTGCAGCAGGTTGCTCAGGGTTGTGTCCAGTTAGGTTCTGAGTATTTCCAACTGTGGAGACTCAACAACCTGTTCTAGTGTTTGACCACCTCCTGGCACCAGGCAGCACAAAAGGGGGAGTAACTGCTGCAGAACTGAGAAGCTGCTCCCAGGGAGATGGTGGGCAATACAGACTAAATCCTCCAGGCCCCGTCTAGCCCATGGGCCACGCTGGGTTAGTGTGGCCAGGATTTCTCTTGGCAATGGAACGGGGAGAAGGAAAAAAAACCCAAAAGGTGAGGTGACAGGAATCCTCAGGAATTTTTGTTTGCCAACTGCAGGGGAGCCCTCAAACTATTTTAAAACTCAGTGAAATTTTACAGAACTGAGTAAAATTTTAATGGTTAAGTAAGTTTATTTTTCTGAAGATTAACTCCTGTTTTTAAGCTAGGCCATGGCATGTTCAGTGTATGTACTATCTGGTTTTAGAGACGTTACAAAGATACATAAACTACTCATGATTTCTAAATAGGGTTAAAGTATGCATGAATGATAGCAAACATCATTCTGAAGAGTATGAACAATTGCCAGGGGGTACCTTCAAGGTCAGGTTTCAGTATTAAGGCAGCTCCTATCGCAAAATTAAAACTTAGTGAAAGAAAAGGTTGCAGTGGGAAATGCTGGCAGTGTTAATGCTTTCTTGCTAAAGCCCCAAAGATCTTTGCTAGTGTGTAGAGTTATGCATTCATGCACTAGTGACTAACTGATGACAAATGACTAGGAGTGATGGAGCTGTTGAATTCTGCTGCTGTTCTAGCAGCCAAAATATGAATTGCAAATGGTGACTACACAAGACTTTGAAATTCCTTGAAAAATATCCTGTAGAATGTATAGAGCAGAGGTAGCAAATTGTGACACTAGAAATCATCTATTTTATGAAAAATAAAGCTTTGAAGCTTTTGGTTAAATGTCTGCAAGACCTGCAGCTGTTATGAACTATTATATCCAGTTAGCAACCACATGAAGGCACCCTTTATCATCACTACATTTCCAAATGTGAAGTAATGAATCCTGAAAATACGCTTCCAAGGTTTAGCACATAATTCTGTTTATACTTCTTTGTTTATATACCTAAAAGGGGCAGAGGTTAAGTAACTTATTGTATTGCAAACCATGGGACATCTTGATCTCTTCTTTGTGTGGTTTGGGGAGTGCAAGAGGCATACTGATTTATGTGGCTTCTGGCAGAGCAGAGCCCTCTTAATAATATGCTCCACATAACTTTTTAGTTCTGGATTAAGATGTCATTTTTCATATTGAATAGGACCTTATTCCAGTGTCATAATTCTACTGAAGAATGGGAGTTCATAAATCCTGGGCACTGGCAATTATCTGTTGTGAACAACAAATGACATGTACAGCTCCTGAAGCAACAAGCTCCTCGGCGTCTCCCACACGCAGCAACAGGGGTACACCAGCGAGTGAGCAAAGAATGTGTCCTTCTCTTGCTCAACAGCTTCAATGCCAGAGCACAAAGGTGCACATAATGCAACAGCCCAGTAACTATGGATGGGCTATGAAACACAGCTGCATATCCACCCTTGTTCTTGCGGGGACAGCCTCCCTCCTCTGAACCCTTTGTAAAATTTCTAGGCCATGGTTCATTTGTAGGAAGTCATATTTACAATGACGTCCTGTGTCCAGTTCCCCAACCTTCCTCTTTAAATTGGAAGATGAACCAAGCATTCAGAACTTAGCTCTAAATCTGCTAAATCCTAGTTTCACAGAGATGGAGAGGTTCATCCAGATTCCCGTGACTGAAGCTGCCATCAAACTTCACTTCTGGCAGAGATTTACACTTTAAAAACGTATTTTTTTAATTACCTTTTCCCTTGTCACAATACAACCTATGTAGTGGTGCCACAGTGGCTGGTGAAAGGACATTAGTGTCAGGGTGTTAAACATAAAGCAACTTCTGGGTTTATTGCTGCTTTCTTTCTAGTTACTTACACTTCTAGAATTAGGTTATCTTTACAGTTGCTTAAAATGCTCTGTTAATAGCAAAAGTGATACCTACATACCTAAGCGATGAAATCCAAAAGTGAACCTCTTTGTGGGAGATTTTGCAGACAGCCAGAGAGCAAGCAAGGTCAAAATAATACCACTAAGGTCAGTTAACATATGAAGTGCATCAGTCATAATTGCTAGACTGTTAGCAACATATCCACCTGAAAAGAAAGTTGGAAAAGTCAGGCCATACAACATTAATGATTGTAGGTAATATCCTTTTGGCACAGCTTACAGTTATTTATTTTCAGAACAGTACATTAAGTGCATGAGAGCTCTTGTTATAATCACTAAATGGGGTATTTTGCCATTGCAATCAAAATGCCATCCTATAATTTAAAGCTACAATAGTTACAAGTGCAGTGAAGTGTGCTTTCTGTTAAGAGTAACATAGAACAGATTCCCTCCTGTCATTCTCACAGACTACTTTTATTGTAACATTTGCTAGATCAGAACCAAAACAGTTTTGTTTCTTGTCTCTGTGTGTTAATGTGCATGTGTTTAATCAGTTGATCCTTTTATTAAACTACATCTGTTAAATATTTTGACATTATGGAACAGGGACAGAAATCCAGTGACTCAGTGGCAAGTAAATTCACCCTGCTCCCTTATTATCACATTATCTTGTAACCTTCATTATTCCCTGTCCTGGCAGGGCTAAGTTCTGCCAGTACATACTGCAGGCAGTGACTTTCACTTGCACAGCATTTTTCTTTGTTATTTATTACCATAATTTTTCTCGTAATTATGAGCTATATTGAGACAAATAACCTCAGATCAAAGGTTAGTATCTTTGTTCCAATTCAGCTGCTAATGCTACTGTTGTATGGGCAAGAGATTTAAACAATGCACCTCTCTTGAGCACCCCTTATCCAAAGGGGAATCAAGGACAGGCTTCCTTGTCTTCCATATGCATGAAGTTAAGCCCATTTTCTCAGAAAGGATCTCATCTTTAGTGTCAGCTAAGTTATGATTTAGTTTCTCTTTTTACCTTGAGATTGACATTCAGCCTGTAAATTCTCCTGAGCAAAGCATGCAGCTGGCATGCCATTTGGCAGGCTTGAGGCTCCAACTAACATTTCGAGTAAAGGTATCTTCATCTACAATTAAAACTGTCTTAATGAAGAGGCTGACCGTGAGGAAATAGCAAAGGGACATTCATAACTGGCTGACTGCTTTCAAGGCTAAATCGTAAAACCTGTGTGTGTGTGGCTGTGTTAGTATGCACACACCTGCAGCCTGAACTACCCTCTCCAGCCAAACACAAGCAGCATCGCTGATACTGTAGTATTGCTTGTACTGTGGGTAACTACCAAATACACAGTTCAACTAGTTCTTTTCCTCCATCCCCCCCTTCTTCAGTTGTTCCTAAGTTTCTAAGTCAGATTCACCTGAGGCTGAAATTTTTCAAAGGCCATCACAGCTCAGAAGTTTTTAAGATTTAGCAATTCATCAACTTTTTGGGTTATGCCCTCCCATTCTGAGTTAATTTCTGTTCTCGTGTAATTTTAAATAATTACTTAGAAATATGCAACTTGGCCTCTTCTACAGTCAACACAGAAGAAACATGAATTTATATCTAAAGCATTCAAATCAGTAGCTTACATATATGATCATTTAAAGGACGTATGTTAATTCCCAAGTATTAATTTTGAGAACCACTTCGGTCTGAGACAGTTTCATTTCAGCTAGCCTTGCACTTTGACAGAAATAAAATGATAAGGAAGGAATTCAGATACTGAAGCAACTGTAACGCAGCATGTGGACTAAGAAAACGTAATTGAAATTTATGAAATTCTGAAATCAAAGGTTCTCTCTTTCCAAACGTACTGGTTCATCTCTTCGTTAAAGGTACTGACTCCTGAGGGTTGTTAAATACAATCAGCAACTTGGGAAAAAGAGACATCTACAACCTGTACAAATAGACAGCTTGATGGCTCAGCACTGTCTTCAGTGACATGTGAAGGACAGCAGTCCTCCTCATGGAAGATCAATTAGAAATCTCTACACATAGCTGAAAACATCAAAACCCTGCCAGAAAATCTAACTAGGACTTGCAATATGTTTTTCATTTTATGATGCAAAATGATTCCCACGAAGTGTAAGTTGTTATCTGACTTTTACAATGACTGTTCATCAAATTAGACAACACGCACTGAGGTGGCCTGGGGTAATGAGCTTGGCTGTACTCTGGAAAACAATATGCCAATCACGATTTCACAAGAAAGCTGTTGAAACAAGATTTCCTTCATCCTGACATTAGTAACAGACAGCAGGAAGATTTTTACTGAATAACTGAATCACCTGATAGGGTCTTCTGCCTTTTTTTCAAAAGCTAGTAAGAGAAAACTGTCAAAGATCACAAAAAGAAGTCAGTTAAAATGTCCTACAGGATTAAACAAAGTTTCCCAAATACCTGAGCTTCAGATCAATTAAAAAAGTTCCAGAAGTTGAAACCAACCAGACAGAACACAATACAGGGCCGGAATGAAACAGTTAAACAGGTAGCGAGGGCACTGACCCAGGACTCAAGGGCTCCATCTTTAATTACTTGTTCTGCTGCTGATTATTTGCCCTATGACAAGTCATTCAGGTCAAGATCCACCCAAGTACAGAGGTACCCAAGTCCTCTATTCATTGGTTGTGGAAGTTGGACACAAAGTGTTCCAGAGATCTAGCCCTTAGTGCTGTGTGCCTCAGTGCCCAAAACATGAAATAAGGCTGGTGGTACATACATACACCTCAGGGGTATGAGCTCTCATGACACTGGCAGCACTTTGTAAAAATCCACCACCCTGAGCTGAGAAGTCCTAGCTGTACAGGAGAAATGACAGATGATGTGACAGTGATGAGAGAGGATTTTTACTCTAAACATGTATTATTCCTAGATGTCCCCCTGCATTACCTATGGAGAGGTCTACAACAGTGTGCATCAGACCCGAAGTCCCTGACAGATACACCCTAGTGACTTCAGCATCAAGCTGCTGGCAGCTCAGAGATACTATTCAGTAAGGGGCTCTTAGGTTGAACTAAATTCAGTATCAGAACTGTTATGAATACAGTCAGATGAAATCATGGTTATGTTAAAACATACCTATGTCCGAGGTACAACACTATGTTCCTTATGAAATTTGCCTGAGTTTATGCTGAACCAAAATCTCAGCCAGAGAAAAAAAAGAGAGCATAAATGGATAGCACATTTCAGCATATGCCCACAAAAGGTTTAATGGAATTGCCTTACCTATGGATGGGAAAGCTTATCTGTGATAAACTGATGTACTGTGGCACTGTCCTTAATGACTAACCACACGCTGAGATTTTGAAGAACAAACCCACTTCTTTCCACTAACCCACATTCCTGGGCCCCCCAGTAAAACTTGTGCAGATATAGTCAGTATTCTGGTCTGTCTCTGAAAAACAGACTGGATTTTTTCCTACGTATGTGGGACAAACTGTATAATTTATACATTGATAATAATTTATCATTGAGCCATGATTTTTCTCTGTATCATCTTGTAGAAGTTTCTGTCTTAAAGATACAGTTCACAGATGTTGTACAAGAAGTGATCTGTGATCACAAGCTCACTTCACACAAGCAAATGTCAGACCTGTAGACATTACTGACCAAATCTGCATAGGTGTGGAGGAGGATGTAGGTACCAGGCTACTACACCTGAGGCATCTCTGTTCTTTATTTCCAGAAAGATTTTGTGACTTGACTTTTTTCCCCCTAGTGAATTATGGCCAATAATTCATCTGATTAGCTCTGATTTAGACTTGTATGTTAAAATGAAAGCAATTTAAAGGCAATTAATTGTTACAGTTGCTACAGAGACCTGGCTCAGCACACACATCAATGTCCTGGCACTTAGTAATGCTCTCCGTGGCTTCAAATCTGGGGATGAGAAAATTTAAGGAGGCCTCTTCAGGAGGCTGCACAGTACTGAGCAGACACGTGCACTGAAGGGCATGGACATACCCAAAAGGCAGATGGTGACAGCATGCCGATATTGATAAGTGAATGGAGATTGAAAGATAAATACGACCCTTTGTAAAAATGATTAGCTAATGGAAAAGGAGTAACATCTTCTAGCTCGTCTGTGCATCCAGGGCACCCTCAAATTTATTTCAAGCCTATGCTGCTGTAGCCTATGAAATGAAGCACAGTCGTCCTGTACAAGCTGCTGTAGAGTGCACAGGTTCTCTTTTACCTGCATAGCAAATGATAGTGTGACTTTATCAGGGAGCAATAAAAGCTGCATTTGATCACCATATTAATTCTTCTGACCAACAAGCCACCAGATACATACAGGAACAGATTTCCAGATAAAAACCCACCATGCTTCTGCCGAATACTAACCGACAAAACCCACAAATAATTTAATCAAACTACTTGGTATTCTTCCGTGTTGTAATGGGAAGTGTTAAAATACCTATTAGTTTAACTGACTTTGTGCATATGATTTACACCTAGATGGAGAACACACTGGTCCCAAGTGCGGCAGGACACCAGGCAGTTGTCAGGGGGGTGGATTCTCACCACATCCACTTTGATAGCTCAGGGTTTGGCTTTCTGGTTATAAGAAACATTGTTGTTGTTGAATGAGGGTAAACCATCCCCCCAGCATTAGTTTTGATACCAGGGTAAACGTCACGCTTATTTCCCTCATTTGTCCTGTTGCAAACACAGATTTTATGTCATTAGTTAATACTGAGGATGAAATTGTTCATCTTTTTTTTTTTTAACGTCTATGATAAAATGCTGCTTCTCCCTTGCTAGTAACATCTTACAAACTTACAAGAGAAACTTACACAAAGAACTAAAAAGCCATTATACATGCAAAAAAAATAATAATCCCATTTATGCCATCTGGGGGACTGACGATATTCATATAAGTGAAGCTGCAAATTCCTCCTTCTTTTCTTGCATGGAAAATACAGGTGGACTTTGTTCCTCCTCACTCTCTGAACTTGCAGCTAATCTCTGATCTCCCTACATGACAGACCGTTTCTCTTAATAACTACCGAAAGCCAGGACAGTGAAAGCGTGACAGGCTGCGCGGTCCATCCGGCCGACAGAGCCCCCGACTCACCTACGAGCTCCCCGGTCATAAAGAGGAGGTAGAGGAGGGCAGCGAGCGTCAACCGCTTCTTCACCGTCCTCTGCCTGGAGCGCTCCCGCCGGCTGCTGCAGCCGCCGCAGGGGGCCGGCCGGCCGGTGCGGGCTCCGGCCCGCTCCAGCAGGGACTCGTCGTCGGAGGGCAGGCCCAGGGGCGCCCCGGCCACCGGCGTGTCCGGTGCCGCCTCCGAGGCATCGTCCGACACCACCACCCGCAGCTTGTTAAACCGAGGGAAGTCCTCGTCCCCCGCCTCGTCCGAGAAGTCAAAGGCACTGGAGTCGTTCAGGAACAAGGGGTCCTCGCTCCTCCGCAGCAGGGACTTGATGCTCCTCCAGAGCCCGGGCCCAGCCATCGCGGCGGAGCCCGGGGACCTCTCCGGCTGCTGCCGAATCTCCCGCGGGCGGCTCCGCTGGCGCTGCTCCCCCTCGTAGGCGGCACCCGTCCGTTCGCCGTCCCGTCAGGGCATGTCCCCTACATCGCTGTGCTGTACCCTGCGCAGCGCGCACCGGCGCTACCGATCCGCCCCACCGCCTCCGCGCCGGCCACCGCTGACGCTGCCACCTCCGGAGCGCCGAGCCGCCCGCGGAGCCCGTGTCCCCGCCGCGCGGAGCCCGCGCAGCCCCGGTCAGGGCGCAGGGCCGCCTCCCCGCCGGCGCAGGGGGAGCGCCTCAGCCGCGCGCGTCACACCCATCAGCGTCGCGCTCCGGGCACCGCTGCGGGGAGGGACTGCACCCGAACCCCTGCGCGCTCCCGCGACCGGCGCTGCCCCGTGCTGTTCCCGCGGAGAGGCCGGGCCAACAGGCGGGACACGGCGACCCTTGCGCGCCCGCCGACCGCCGCGGCCCCGGCCAGCACTGCGCCTGCGCCGCCCGTGCGGTAGGATCACCGGTTCGAGTCCTGCAGCCACCGCCTCGCCGCGCCCTGCACCGAGCGCGGAGGTGGCGGAGGTGGGGAGAGTGGCAGGCGGTGGGGGGGGTCGCCAGGTGCTGTAGCGGTCAGCCCGAGATTAGCCCGAGAGGCTATTTTAGTCCCTACGTACGCTTGTGCTCGGTGGATATATGTCATGCGAGGTACAGACTTTCAGCCGGAAAAGCCATGAAATCCAAGTACTATCTGTTGGTAGACAAGGAGTTGCTTTCACGTACGCTGGAAGGTGAACTGCAGAGTTCCGTGCTCTGGCTTCAAATTTGAAGAGTCACAAGTTTGCATTGTGTAGCGTAGCTTCTTTCTCTTCCTGTCAAAGGCACAGAACTTCATGCCATTTGCAGCAACTCCCAGCAGTTAGGGCAGTGTGGTGTCACGGGGAGAAACAAACCTCAGAGGCCCTGCTGTCATATAATTCCTTTCATAACCGTGCTCTAACTTAAGAATAATTATATTTTTGCCTTTATTAATTCTGTTATGTGTTTATTCCCCCTCTTTGCTGGTCTCAATACCAGAAGTTTTCTTCTAATTTCCAGCCTACACATACTGAGTGCCAGTTTGTACTGATGGCCAAGTACTACTCCTCTGTCAGCCCCCTAAGTCATAAATACTTCTGGAAAATCATGCCTGCCTGAGGAAAACTACATATCCTGGGTTTTGACCTGGCTGGAGGAACTTACCAAGTGAAGACCAGAGAGTTGTATGGAGCTTCAAGATTTTGGAGAAAGACACCCCCTTTCTGGTCAAGGGCTGTGTCCTGGGTTCAGCAGTAGCAGTCATCTTTCTCCTTGGTAGCTGGTGCACTGCTGTGTTTTGACTTTCGGGCTGGGAACAAAGCTGATAAAAATAATGTTTTGGTTTGGCCAAGGACTTTGTGAGCCTCATGCTCTGCCAGGGAGGAGGGGAAGCCGGGAGGAAGCAGAGACAGGACACCTGACCCGAACACACCAAAGAGGTATTCCATACCACAGCACACGTCATGCCCAGGGTGTAACTGGAAGTTACCCGGAAGGGCTAGGTGGACTGCAGGGTTGGAGGAGATATCGGTCGGTGCTTGGTCGGGCTGGGGGGGCAAGTTATTGGTCGGCTGATGGTGAGATGTTATATTCTTTTCCCTTGTTATTTCTTTTATCATTATTATTGGTGGTAGCGGTGGTGATTTGTGTTATACCTTAGTTACTAAACTGTTCTTATCTCAACCTGTGGGAGTTGCATTCTTTTTGATTCTCCTCTCTGTCCCTCTGGGAGTAGGGGGAGGGCAAGATGGGGAGGGAGTGAGTGAAAAAGCTGTCTGGCTGGCTTTAAACCACAACAGGCTGATAGCAGATTCTGGCACACATCAGGACAGTGTTACAGGACATGGAGCGAGCCCTTTCTTGGAACAGGCCCTGCAGGAGGGGAGTCGAGTGTGGTAAACTTACTGATGTTCTCCATAAAGATGTCCAAAAATAAGCAGTATTGCATTTTATCTGAGCTCCCCTGCTGCTTTACAAGGTGGCAGCTTTCCTGAGCATGTAATCCCAAATTCTTCCTCAGGTTGGATAAAAGTGCCATGCCTGGCCTTTTTGCCCACCTCATAATTCCCCCAGCAGGGTTGCCAGCACAATTGTTTTGGGGCCAGATGATGAACTGTGTCCCTGAAATGGGACAGAACTTTAAAATGCACATTGGAGGGATTTGGGATATATTTGTATGTGTGACTGAGATGGCTTCTGTGATCACAAGTTGCATAGACACCCATATGGCAGCTGAGGGGGCAGCAAGCAGCATGGGAGTCAGCCTCAGCAGTGAGGCTGGGCCCTGTGCAGCCAGGCTTGCTGCCCAGGGAGAGAAACACTCCAACTGTGTTCCAGTTCAGCCATTCTTAATGGTTTTGTTTGCCTCACTGAGTGGTTTAACTCTGTGTTTCCCCACTTATACTGGAACAAGTGCACGAGGATGCACAGGCATGAGAGAACAGCCAGGCAGGAGCTTGCAAAACTACTGCTTGTAAAATTCATTAGGCGGTGGCACAATAGGCTCATGCTCCATCCTGCTGCTGCTTCTGCAGGATCAGAAACTTCTCATACTGAGAAAAGGCAGCATGTTGGGGGGCTTAACACCCTAAACCAGCAAACCAAGGTTTGCCAGCCTGCCTTTTACTGAATAATTAAGACCAGATTTTTCTGAAGCATTGTCAAGAACCAAATCATGCGTTGTCAAGATGAACCTATACTGAACAGTGCCTTTTGTAACAGCCTGTCCATCTCCTCACATTCTGCCCATGGATGGGTAGAATTGCTGTCAGCTGAAGAGTCTGGGTTCTTCAGTCTCCTTGGGATAGCTCTGTTGCTGTGTAGGAACAATAAATCCCTTCAGCTCATTTTTCAGAGCTGTCCTCAGCAAGGTTTTCTTTCTGATTAAAGCTTTTTCATTGTATGGCTCCAAGGGTTATGGAGTTTGTTGTTGTATGGTAACTTATTTTTAGATAGCAATGGTAATGTTAGTACTGATTTTTCACAACTCGTTGAAATTAAGTATTTAGACAAACAGGTAACTGCTTTTTGTTAGTTTGACCAGATAATTCTGTTCCTTATTATAGGGTTCACTTAACTTCTTTTTCAAACATCTTTTTGTCTTAGAATAAAACCTTACCTAATCCTTCACAGGATAATGAACTTGGGAATGCACTTGGGAAATAGTTACTGTGAAACAGAGAGCATTTTGAAGAGGAAAAGGAACGAGAGGCTTTCTATCAATCTCTTTTTTGGAGCATTTGAGTTGATAACTAGTTAAATTTTAACTTGCCTGGAAAAACAGATGCCAATTTTATATTCCAATCCTTAGTCTATTTCTGCAAGATGTGGGAGGGCCTGGAACAGGCACAGCAGGAGCACGAATCTGAAACTCCCACAGCTCAAATGAGACTATTTCAGAGTGATTATCTCACTGGTTCTTACTAGAAATTCCATCTGGAAGATGAGAAGTCTTTCCCAGTGAAACTTTACAAAACTTTTCTGGTTTTCCCCATTGCTAACCAGTTGTAATTGAAAATTTGATTCAAGTCTTAAGTTAGTTGGCAAGTACTTGTTGTTGCAGCCCAGCTTCAGACCAGGCCTTTGATGCTGCTTTTTTGAAGCAAAAGCCAAAAAAGAAAGAAAACCAGGTCAGGTTTTAATCTGATGACAAAACAGTGACATAACTGTGATCAATAATTAAGTAGAATATACATGTGAAGAAAAATATAAATGAAGTTGCAATGATCTTGTTAAAAGTGTCAACTTTAAGGATGATAGATCATCTCCAAGTCTTTTTTTTTTTTGCCTGTTTCTGAAAAGCACTAGTGGGACTACCTGAATTTCATTTAATCTTAAGATTTGGACATTTATGGAAATAATACATTCAAACACTTTGTGAGTGGTGCCTTCACTGGTTTCTTTACATAGATGTGCCTGACTTCCCTGAAAAGACCTCTATAAATGATAGCAAAAAATATATAAATCCTACCATACCAGAAAGTGGTTTCTATCAATAATAAAATACACAAAGTTATTAATTACTCTTACAGACTGATGGGCTAGATGCAGAGACAGGTACATACACGAAAACTAGTTCCAATTCCTTTTTGCTAAGGAACAAAAGCTGAAGTAGTGAACAATCTGCGTGATTACTGGAGAACAGAACGCAGATGTGTGCAGAGCAGGACACAGCATGTCCCCAGGAAGGGCTGCCCTGCAGCGGGGTTGGTTGGGGTTTATCCCTTGGCAGTAGCACTCGCCGACTTGCGCTGTGCGATCCGCCCGGGACCTGTTAGTCCCCAGCACTGGGACTCCACCGGCCGCTGCTGGCCGCCTCCGCTCCCCTCGGCTCGCTGCACCACCACCGCCGGGAGGGGTCTGCGCCGAGACCCCAACCTGTCCCTTTGGCTCTTCCCCTCGGCTGCCCCACCAGTCACGGGCCTGCCCCCTCTGCCCACACCCTTTGCCCCAGGGCAGCTCCGTGTGTGACACCGACGGCTCCGCCCGGCCCGAGACAGCACCGCCCCGCGACCGGGGCTTCGAGCGTCTGTCGAGCTTCATTTCCGCATCCGGCCCATCTAGTCAGCTGCGCCCTGAGGCACGTCTATGGTGAGGCGCCGGGTGGTGGGGAGGCCGGCGCGGGGTCCTCCTGCTCGGTGACTGCGGTTAGAGCCCCGCGGGTCCCTGCGCCACCGGCTCGACTCGGTCTCCTGCCCTGCGGCAGGAGGAGGCAGCGATGAGCCTCGCGGAGCGGTCTGAGGAGAAGGTGTTGGCGGCTGCGGGCACCCCCGTGCGCTCGTTGGGTACGTGAGGGGCGGCTGGGCTGCCCCGGGCGAAGACGGGTGCGGGGGGTCGGAGGAGGGGCTGGGGCCACAGGCGGCCGGCCCCGGGCAGAGCTGAGCGGCTGCTGGCAGTTGGGCACGCCGTGGAGCCCAGTCAGAAGGCTGGGGCCGGGTGCACGGGAGACCTAAAGCCTGCCGGAGCCACTGGCTCCTTTTGTGCTGTGCGGTGTGGCCTGTGGATCGAAGTCCTGTGTCTTCAGTAGGTCTGCACATAATAAATAACCATAGCTTGCCCATAGGAAACTTACAGGAACTATTACCTAATGCTTGCAGACTTTTAAAGTTCAGCGTATGTGGTGTTTTAATGAAGTCTGCGTATGTTTTGAGTGACAGGCTAAGACCTTTATTCAGTAGGCCTGGTTTATTCCCTAACTTCGAAAGCAAAGGGTAGCAGTGTGTTAACATTTAGGTATTCTTGATGCACAGCCAGAACAAGTGATACTGACCCTCTTTTTCCTCTGTAGACTGGATAAGTTTTTTATATATATAAGATGTCTTTGGAACACTCTTACTTCCCTCTTTCTGTTCTGCTCATGTTCAGAGAAAACTGTTCACTGGGATGTTCATGATATGGGACTGAGAACAAGGGTGGGATGAAGAGGGGCAGGGAAGAGGAGGCACAGTTGATAAAGCATCAGGAGGTATAACTTCAGTGTGGAAATGCTTTTAATTTTTAAACAGGAAAATACAGTTGTTTTAGATGAAACATTAGGTGCATGCTGACCTGTCACTATTCTTTGGTGTAGATCCTAGTGATGCATCTCCAGATGAAGGGGTAGTAGAAGATCTGCCTTTGATAGATGAGAAAGCTGTGGAGCAGCTGACTGAAGGACTGCTTTCTCATTATCTGCCTGATCTTCAGCGATCAAAATCAGCACTACAGGAACTTACGTAAGCAGATTTGTAAAACTGACTTGTTATATGTGCATACTTTGTTTGCCACGGGGTTTTTTTTGTATAATGTTCTAGCTACCCCTAAGTCAAATATAGCTTACTGAAGCATTTCTGTGTTCTGGATGTAGATCCTGAATATTTAAGTGATTTGCACAAGTATTGGAGTTGTAAAAGCTGCAGTGTATCCTCTCAGAACTTGTGTAATGTTAGAACACTAAAATCTCCTAAGCTAGGTATAGTAGAAGACACATATATTTCTTAAATACTTCTTCATTCCTGTTGAGGAAAGTCTGCTGAAAGCTGGATTTATTTTACTTTCAGAGATGGAGTTCATATTCAGAGCAGCTGGTAGTATGGTATATTGTTTGTTGTCCTGTTTCTAAACTGTGCTGCAAAAGATGTACTTAGAGAATATATTTTAGGAGCTAAACAGGGAAGAGTTCTCTGTGCGTTGTCATCTCACTGATAGCTGAGAACAGTTTATTTCAAATGCAGACTAGATCTGCTATGGATGCAGAGATGCTAGAAAGGGCTTTAAGCCTATCTCCTTGAGCTTTGCAGGGTACACTGATTTGGGTTTCACAATGCATGATGGGGTTATGCTGCTGCCAGAGATAGCCTGTGTCTGGACCAACTTTAGCTGATTTATTTGGGATGAAGGATCCTCAATAAGCACCGAGGATTAAATGACTTAGTCCTGCAACATGCTGCAGAAGTACTGAGTGCAAAGTCAAGAGCTAATTGTTCTTCCCTTCATTCAACCAAGGGTGTTTACTCACTTTGCAGCCTGCAGAGTGCCTAGTCAGGTTTTTGGGATATCTACCTCGAATATCCATGCTGTACAATGCCAGCTGAATTTGTGTGTACTCAGCTGGGATTTTTCTAGGATCCCTTACTCATGTCTATTGAAATTGCCTAGCAATGCATAAGAGGGATTTGATGTTGGGAAACATGTATTTATATTGTTATGATCAAAAGTTGTATTTATTTAAAGGGATGGTTGAAAAAGAGTATGTGCTGCTTTAGTTTGGTTTTATGCAACTTTTCTTTGTTTCAGACAGAACCAAGTGGTATTGCTAGAAACATTAGAACAGGAGATTTCAAAATTCAAGGAGTGTAACTCCATTCTTGAAATCGATGCTTTGGTAAGTGATATTAATGCTTTCTTAAATCTCTATTAGTGTAGATTTTATTGCTGAAGCTTTAATAGCAACTTGTGTATTTTCCTTCTTCTTAATGACTTGCAGGAAGAGAATCAACCAGTTCAGGTATTCAGGATAAATTGTTGCTGGAGAGGGTGCAGAATCAGCATGTTCCCCTTAAATAGGAAGGGTAATGGGAAGAAAAAGCGGGCTCAGCCAGTGGTAGTAAGTCCAGTTGTCCAAAATTAGTAGCCAAAGCAAAGGTATGCGGTTTTTCAATAGAACTGAGGCTCCCATAAGAGGTCTGTGCACCTTTCCAGACTAGGAGGAACGGGGCATGAAACACTGGTATATGGTGCATAAAATGGTAATTTTTTAATTCTGTTTAACAGGTCTTAGTCCAGCAGATTACTGGGTGTACCTGTTGTTATATGGCAGTTTTCTATAGTGTGTGTAATATGTAAACTATATATAAACGTGAGCATGTTTAATCCATTATCAAACTGTTCTGGTAATTGCTGGTTTTGATTGCGGTTTCGCTATGTAGCTTCACAGAACAACTGTTCCAACTTGACAGTCGCTGCTTTTAACGGTTATGGGTTTTTTTAAGTTTTCAGAAGCTAAACACTATCACAACAAGTTGGTGAATATTAGAAATGAAATGATGATGCTCCATGAGAAGACAACAAAGCTAAAAGTGAGTGGGATAAATATTTTTACTTTCCAACATAGATATCTACTTACTTATGTATTATTGACTCCCAACTTTGATTTTTGGATGCACACTGAAAGTTCTGATTAAAATAGAATCCTCAGTCAACTGAAGTGGAATTTTTCAGTGGTGCTAAACCATGTATGTTTTTAAGCTTTCATTTACTACTACCTGTGCTTGAGCAGTGAATCTGAACATGATCGTCATGTTCAGATAGTATCATGCTTTGTTCTCTTGCTTAATCCACTCTATTCCAACTAGTTCTCTTCATTGTTTCAGTTTTTGTGCCTCTTTAATGAAAACTAGATTGTCATAAATGTAAGATTTTTTCCTATTTAATGTAATGTTAGCAGTGACATAAATTCACTGACTTCATCCTATATAGGCAGTCTCTGGTTACATTATGACAAGATTACTCCTTTGGTACATTCAGCAAAAGGATTTTCTCTGGGAGGCAATAAATTGCACGATATGCCCCTTGTCTGCTGTATGCAAAGGATGACTTCTAGTGAGAGTGAAGGGAATCCAGTTTGTATTTTCCCTGTGTAGATCACAGATGTGCCATTCTTCAGGAGTAAGATAGAAGTGGGAGGGAGGAAGAAAAAATGAAGTTTACGCAGCATTCAAATCATAAGCAGGGTGGATTGGAAAAGATAATGTTAAGAGGCTTTTGTCTGTGGCTCCAACTTAAATACAGCTATAAATTATTATTACAGCTATATTATTTCTTGTCTTTTCTGTTTAGAAAAGAGCACTGAAGCTGCAACAAAAGAGGCAGAAGGAAGAACTAGAAAGAGAACAGCAACGTGAGAAGGAACTTGAAAGAGAGAAGCAGTTAACAGCAAAACCTGCTAGGAGGACTTGAAAGCACAGCATGCAACAATCTGTCTGAATTAATAGCTTCTGGATTTTCTGGAATTAAGGCAGATGCCCCTCAAATGGGGCTATAGCTGTTACTAGCAACAATCTACTCTCTAGTATTATAAAGTCTGGTAATAATAGGGTGGGTAACATTCAGATTTTTTTGTTTCAGCCATTCAAGTTGCCTTCTTTTATAATGCTATGCAGTTTGATATATAATGTAAGTTAAATTTTGTGTATCTATATGTATATAGGGGAACTTGGGCTTCACAGTTCTAAATACCTGTAAATTTTTTTCATCTGTTGTTCTTGTGTTTAGAATTCTGAGATACTCTTGGTGACTAGCACATACACACAACACAATACCAGTTAAAGTTCAGTTCTCATCACCAGACTTCAGTGGCCACCCATTTCACAGTTGAGATCTCTTTGGGTTCATAAGTACTGACTCTGTGCAGTCTCTGTTTGGTCTATGTCTAATGAACTGAAGAAAGTTCAAGTGTATTTGCCTTAAAGCTCACTTTATTGCAGCAGTCTTTCTCTTTTTTCTGCTTTATGTAACTTCTGATTAAATTCTCAGCTGAACTGGTACGGGGGGGAAGCAGACCACTAAAGGTCTCCAAACTGATTTGTGCACAATGCAAAGATGAATTAATTTGTGCTTCCACAAACACTGGAGTCAAACCAGGGGACTGTTACCTCTGTAGTGGTCCAACAGGATGACTGTGTGGCCCATGCAGATTTTTGGAAGATCAGAAGGTGTAGTGTTCTCATTCTGTGTGACAAAATAAAACAACCAAAATGCAACAATCTCCACTTCACATGAGTTTCAGTTACCCACAGAAAAAACTACTGCATTTATATTTTTCCTTAACCCATGGTTCACTTGCACTTCAGGGCTGCATAAGAGAATTTCTGTTACACTGTCCTTGCCCAAGTTGGCGATTAGTAGTGTGTACTGATGATACATGTGGAATAGAGGCTGATAAACTTTTCTCTGAATGTAGTTGCTCTCTTGCAGCGCTTGGTGTGAACTCCCATTCAAATGAAAATACATGTTGTTTAAACTGGTGAAAGAGCTTAAACTATTGGTTCCTACAGTCTAAGAAACTGCTTATTTTATTCTGTGGTGGTTTTTTAGTACTGTACAATTGGTGTGTTTTGAAGTAAGATGAAGGGTAATCTATGTAAACTTTTCCGTAAGATCTCTATGGTGAGGTACCAGAGGGGCTCAGTCAATTTTACTTTTTTACACAGTATGCACCTGCTTGCACTCTTCTGTATTGCAATTTTCTGAACTTATTTCCTGTTCTTGTTTTGTTTTTCTGTGAAAGACACTTTAATGAGTAATCATCCAACATACAAGGTAAACTGGGATAAAGTTTTGGAGCAAGGAGAACAAAGTACTTGAAGTAGTCTGAAGAGACTGAAATGCTGTTACAGGAGCAGTAATAGATTTAAATTTTTCACAGGTATTTTTCCTGTAAGTTGACTGGTGTCCATTGCCTGGGTTGTTGGTGTGTGCTGTGGTTTGTATTTCTAAGAGAAATGTAGAGAATTTCCACAGTCCTTTTTTGGAGTGGAACGTACATAACTAAATGTTATTTCAGTGTTTTATTTTGTAATGTAATTTCAAAACTAGATTCTGGGAATGTAAACAGTTCCTATTAACATATAACATGAAACTAGATGTCTCCGTAGCCAAATTGGGATTAAATTTCTGTGGTATTTGTTTTGTGTTCCCTCATCTAGAACCCAGTGTAGTGTTTCAAGTGGTGGTCTCTTTTTGTGAAGAACTGGGGGGGGTTTGTTTTGTTTCAAAAATTGTGTCTACATTTACTGAAAACAGAGAATTTTAAGCACAAAAATTGATACCTTTGCAACTGTATATTTCAGCTGTTTGAAATAATTTCTGATCAAAGGAATAAAAGTTGACAGTGCCTGCCTGAGGAATCCCATAAGTAAAAATGTAGTAATTTTTCACATTGTAGTCAAATCTGTTTTCTGTATGAATAAGTAACTAATTTTACTAAGGGGGAAATGATTATATGTGGGGGGCAGTGTTTGGTCAGTTCACATAACTTTTTTGTTTTATTAATCATTTCAGTCAAATCTGCAGTTTATTATCTTCATATGGTGTTGTTCTTCAGAATACTCGTGTCATGATGCATAAAATGCAGCATTGGATTAATTTAACAATAGTCATCTAAAATGATATGCCAGCATTAATATGCACAGCTAAGGTAAGTATACATTTAGTCTTTCTGTTACTGTGTATACGTTTAGTCTTGTGTAAAAGTAAGACACTTAACTGTGTGGTAACTCTGAATTTTTATTTTGTAAGATTCTACAAACTTAGGAATTACTGTTGCTAACTGAGGAATCTTCGTTTCCTGTGCTCTTACCTTTGTTATTCTTAAGCTGGATGCTTAAATTGGGTTACCACACCTATAGCTTTACAGCTTTACATGAGCCAATTTTTAATCCAGTGAAATCTGGGTTTTTCACTAATCATGGTACTTTTGCCACGTTCATAAGAGAAAGTTCGTTTCCTTTTGTGAAAAGGCTACTGAAGACTTTATTTGGTTTTATTTGTGTGACCTAAGTGATAATAGCATAAATAATAACATAGAGGTTGTTTTTGTAGCTGTTCAGTTGGGATTCCAGCAGTTGAGTTCTCTGGCCGATTTCTTCTGAATTACCCTTCAGTAGGTGCTTTCTGCCACCTGCTGCTTGCTTTGCAGCACTGCTGCCTCTTCTTAATTCTCACCTCGGTGCTTTAATGCCTCACCTTGCAGGTGTCATTTTTTTGTGTTTTAAACCTCATTAACTCTGTTAAGTTATTTGATCTTTCTTGGAGTAGTTGTACGACTATAACTAAATTACCGGTAAAAACTTCGCAGGTCTTGGAGGTAGTGATGTAAATCTGTATGAATACAATTTACAGGAGCAAAATTACTCAGTATAGCTATTCATGTGAGGCAAAACAGTGTGTAAGGTGCAAAGATTATTAATTTTTAAATCAAAGTGTAAGCTTAAACAGTTTATTTTGGTACAAATATCACTGCTTTCCAGTAATTTGAAGTACACTTCTCCTTACTGTTCGCAGTCTTTCACAGTGATTTGTAGAAAAACAGGCACCGAAACTAGACAGTCACATTACCATCACACCCCCCCCACAGTATGTCTTCAAAACAGACCTTTGTGATACCAGCAGAGCCAAGAACTCTTATGATCTGACAAATGTAGTTTTCTCAAATATTCTTCCTCTAGCTGATAGAACTAAAACTAGAGCTGGGAAGAACAGCTTTATTCTTTCTGCCTGACAGTGTCACAGTAGTGCTGGTGTGAAAATTTTAACTGCTGTCCACCAGGCAGGAGCTGTTGTCAACCATGGTCCCAGAGGGTTATGACTGAAGTCCATGATTCAAGTGGTATTCATGATGTGTAGCTTTAAAGTAGAGATGTTGGCACTGCCTGATAACTCAGTATTTCCTTCTCTTTTACACATATCTGTCTGTTTGTCTCTGTGGTGTCAAGTCATGGGGTTTAGGAGAGGAAACAGAACAACACCCTGTTTGGCAGTCAGAACAGTTGCAACAAATGTATTCAGCTTTTACAAACTTGCAACTTAATAAAGCAAATAATTTAAAGCTTGATAAAGAGTAATTTCAAAATGTGTACATATGCAAATGCAATATTCTCTAAAGAAGTCATTCACAGAAGTAATTAATTTTGCACTGTCATCCATGTTGAGATGCAAGACAAAAGATAAATCTGATCTATTTTGTTTGATATGTTGCAATGAAAATACATCCCAGCACTGCTGTGAAAACGGGACCATCAGTGCATGTACTGGTCAGCAAAACGCTATCTGGAAATCAGTGATAGGAGTTTATTGCTTTGATGAGCAAGTCTTCTGTCATCTGGGATTCAGATAAAAAGTAATATCCCTCTGTATTAAATACAACCTGTCAGAGTAAGAACAGAACAATGAATATGAACTCTTTTCTACCCTACTGCCTGATGTAGAAGCTTTTCAGTGTTCCTACCTCTTCAGTGCTCGGCTGAATTTGCTGTTTTTTCAGTCTTTAAACCAGTGAAAGTCATGTTGATACACCATGTATTTTTTGTTCTGGTTTGCTTCTGCTTCTACTGGGTTGATTTTATTTTACTTCTGCTTCTTTTTGTTGGCCTTACAGATGCTGTTATTTAGTGGTATGCCAGAGGAAGGATATCTCCCAAGAAAAAATACCAAAGATGATGTGAAGCAATTACTGCTTTCCTTCTGCATCACCCAGTGTTACTAGTATTTATTTGAGATTGTGATTACTATCAGGTAGGCACTTTCAGGGAAGAATAATCCCCATTCTGGAGAACTTGCAACCTAAGCCTAGACAGATATGTAGATGATGCCCTGTGGAAGGGTCAGTATTTAATGTGCCAGGAGGTGGATGCTCCAGGCTTCCCAGGAATGACTAATGTTTAGGATTGCTGCTTGCAGGTAAACTGGTAATGTTCATGTGTCGAGTATCAGCTGTCCAGATTTAGGATTGGCGTTAAAGCTCATTTCAAAACATACAGCAGCACATGTGTTAGGATTTTGGTTTCAGAGGCACTCAGAAATGAGACGGCATTAGACTGAGAGGGAGGGTTTATTTCTGTGGCAGTGCTTTCATGTAGAATAATGCTGTATGAATCTTCTGTGGAACTAGTATTGGATGTGCTAAGCCTTATGCAAGCAGTGGAGGGGGGGAAATTTGGCAGCCTTTTGACCTTTGGCTTTCTTACTTTTATGATGTTTACACGTTTTAGCCTGGTGTAGCTATTTCTAAGTAGCTGTGGGAAGCGTTACTGAAACCTCACATACGTGTATGGAGCTACTAAATACTGAGAAGTGCCTCAGAGGGTGATTTGTCTCCTGTCAAGATTAATGGTATCTTTTGGCTAAACCTGCTTCTTGGACTTCATGTATTTTTGTGAGAATAGCCACTGACAGGGAATGAGTGCAGGTTTTTACAAACAGGCAACGTGAATCATTGTAATTCGGTGCTGTGGGCTTATCTCCAGCAACCTCAGTACCTGGCAGGGAAGGGAATGTCTGTGATAAGAGTAAATTGTCAGGCTTGACTTTATGATTCTTGGCCTTCAGCTGTAAGCCGAGAAAAGCAACTGACACTTCTTTTCTACAAATAGAAGCTCAAAGTAACACAGAGCACAAGCAGGCCGAGAGTACTGGCCCGTGCATGACTGGCTGGCCATGAGGAGCAGCAACATGCTTCTGCTGAAGTTAGGAAATGCCAGGTGTGATGCAGCCTGACAGGGTGTGGCAGGGCCTGACAATTAAACTGCTCTTCCAGTGGGCACCCTGCAGAATGTGCAGTTCCCTTCTGCATATTACATTGTGTGCAGACAGGGGAACAGCCTTGTGGTATCTTCCCATTTGACTCAACGTATTTCCCCCATTCTGTATAGTTGTCCACATGGCTGTGTATCTGTTGAGCAGTTTTACGTGTGCAGGCACTTTGTGCCAGGAGGGGAAGATTAAGCCTGAGAAGGAAGTGGCCTGACATGTGATACGGATCTGTTTGCCATTTGGTGCAAACAAGTTGGCAAAAGTAATTTTGTCTGTAAGTTACTCTCAGCACTAATCTTGACATGACTTTTTTTGCCTTGATGAACATGATTTAGTGGATTAACAGCTGTTCTTACTTCACACTGTCACCGTGCCATATATCAAAAGCCCAGTAAAGTTTTCAGGGGAAACATTTTAAAGCTTGGCTCAGCAGTGGGCTGCAGTTGGGTGAACAGACGCAAGAGGTGGCAGCCCTGCTCTCTGCTTGTACTCAACTGAAAGGTTCCTTTCTCCATGCATCCAGGTGAGTTACATCCTAAGTTCAGCTTAGGACTCTAATGCTTTGACTTATTTTTCTTTCTTAGTAGTTCATGTATTTTAATGTGGTGGGAGTCCACACTTCAGACTGATGTTTGAGATAGCAAGCTGGAATGGCAGTTGGGTTAGAGATGCAGGGACATTTAGGGGGGAAAAAGAAAACTAACGTGAGCCCACAGGCAAGGTTGCTGCGGTGCTAAACGTGGCAGCCCTCGGTGCGGGGCGGTAACGGGGGGTCAGGTGCCTCAACGTGAGCGGCACTGCACAGAGTGGCCCGGCCGGGCCCTGCCCTTTGCCCGGCGGCCGGGCGGCACCTGCCGCCGCCGCGCTCCGCCCCGCCGCTCCCGCTGACAGGACCCGCCGCTTATACCGCGCACGGGGCGGCGGCGCGCTCCTTTCCCCCGCTCTGCTTCTCGGCGGCCGGCGCAACAGGCAGGCAAGTGCGGGTGCGGCCGCCGCAGGGCCGCAGCTCGGGGCCGGCTAGCGGGACGAAGAGGACGGCGGCCATCGGCCGCGGGACGGGAGGGCGCTGGGCCGTGCCCGCGGGCAGGCTGCCGGCCTCGGCTCTGCGCCGCCAGCAGCGGCCGGGGCAGCGCCCCTGCTGCGGGGCTCCTGCGGGCCCGGTGCGGCGGGTCGCGGGTGAACGGAGTCCTGTCGCTGTTCCCAACTCTTGCGTTCCCTGGAGCAGCGCGGGCTGCTCCATGCGGGACCTCACCGTGGGTGTAGAGCCTGATTCAGCGAAAGGCAGCGCCCACCGGGGCTGCGCTCGCCGCCCCTTGGGATGTCCGACGCCGGCGCAGCCGCAGCCGCAGGAAGCCCCGGGCGCGGTAGCCGCGGTGAGCTCGGAGGCTGCTGGCGGCTGCGAGTGCGGTGTGAAACGCGTGCGGGGCTTCGGAGCGGGCGGAAAGCTGCTGCGTGCCCCTAGCGCGCTGGGGCTGCCGAGTGTTTGCTCATGGTGGACTATTGAAACTTACCTGCGGCCGACTGCTCAGAGGGGAGTTGTAGTGATCTTTATTCTTGTTAGTAAGACTTCGGTAACTTTGTTCTAACTCCCTGCAATACATCGTTCATAAACTGGCTCAGTGAAGTAGTCAGTCCTGGGAGCTGAGCATACCATAGATACATGAAGTGTTGTGCTTCAATTAAATGTTTGTTCGGGCACTACAACTTGTGCCTCTCAAGGATAATTTGCTGGATATGAATCTACAGACCTGGCAAGAGAATGGCCTGTAATACTTGGGTGTCCTGCATGTGTCCCTTGGATCTGAGGATGTTCTGTGATACCTTGTCTGTAGGTAACACTGCAAAATGAAGTGTGACAAAGTTCCTTCCGTGTTAGGTCAGCTAGTGGACATATTGAGTGCATGCGAGAAGAGATGGAATTTTGGTTCTTGTAATGAGCCACTAGTGTGATTTGTCAGTATTGTATTTCTGACTTGTCTCTGTCTTTATTGTATAGATTTTGATTTTTATTTACTTGTGGCTGTTAATACACAGAGAGCTGTAGCCAAAGATAACCTTTACACTTTGAGCTTGTTTATGGGCTGGATGAGGAACACTTACCCTGTTCTGTTGAATCTGCTGTTTTCTTTGATTGGAATTGGATAAAGTACACAAAAATACGAAATTGTAATGCAGTATGTTTTCAGCAAGGTTCTTCTTGCTGAAAGAAGAAAAGCTTAAAAGGAGTTTCTAAATGATTAATTTCCTCTGTGATGATTGTAGAAATGTCATTAATTTATTTTTAAGAACAGCGTAATGAAGGTAGTTCCTATGGTCTGTTTTCTCAGTCTCGCCAAGGGATTTAAGCTGCTAACACTGGAAAACAGTGTTTTCTATTTTTTTTTAAGTGAAAAGTCACTGTTTTTGTTTGTGCCACCTTAACCCGCTCAATGGCATTCAAACACTAAATAATACTGAGCTCTCCTTGTCAGTCTTAACTGATTCTTTTTCAAGTGCACTTTCTTCAGTATTAAACAGACTTACTGTAAAAGCATGCAAACAAGTAGCCTTGGAGTAAAAGGGATTTATGAATAGAGATGTGACAGTCACTGACTACCTGCAAGCTAAGTCTGATTTTTAAAGAAACCAAAAAAAAAGTTGTTTTTAAAGACGGGAGAGGGGGAAAAGCTTTGACGGGCTGCCTGCCCTGGTAGAGATGACATTTTTTGTCCATTAACTGTGAGTCACATCACCCTGGGTTTTATGTGGTGTGAGGTGAGTTGTGCTGCAGTAGCATTACACAAGCTGCTGATGCTGTAATAAACCACTGTGACTTGAAAGCATTTGTAAACCAGACTTGACCTGATGACAGACCTAGTTTTAAATGGCAGAATTCAGGCGATGCAGAGCCCTCACTGAGGCAGAGGAGTGTATTGTAGGCTTTACCTTTCTAGGCAGTGCTCTAAGACTTGTGTACGGATCTCCATTGTGTGTGTGATTTCGTGTTATATGAGGCTAATATGAATTGTCACATTGTGCATAATTTAAAGGACAGTGAATGTGTGCTCTGTGTTGTCTTCTACAAGCTTAAAATTTCAGCTCAGTTCAGTAGGCTAACTACATATTTTCCCCTTTACCTTAATTTTCGTTCTGTTCCTTTATCTCTCGTGTTCAGAGTGGAGGGTTTATGTGTTGCTGACTGACTTGATATACAGCTGCTGTCTAGCTTAAGAGTTTAATATGAAGGATTTTGATTTTTTTTTTAAGATAGCTGTCTGCAAATGACACTTGGGTTTGTTTCTATATACTCTGAAACAATTTAGAAATGATGTAATACCGTATTCTGACCAATTTGACCGCTGTTAGTTAAGGTACATCTTGTTTGTGCTTACAGTCATGCTTACTTACTTACTTTGACCAAAATATATTTGGTCAGAGAGGATAATTATTCCTTAGTTTCCATTACAAAAATGGAGTCTTCTTCTCTTGGTCTGGATGTGCTGTGTGTTGGGAGCCAGCGGGCTCTGAGCCTGTTTAATTGAATCGGAAGCAAAATCCTGCATTCATGAGCCTCCAGAAACAGGATGTTCTTCTTAAAACTGTCTCACAAATGGAAGTTGCAAAACTTGCTCTTCACAGTTCATCTCTCTCTGACTTGGAGAAAGCAGGACGTGTATCTGTCAGGTAGCTCTTATTTCTAGGGTAGAACAACTTCCTCCCTTGCTTGAGCTGCCTGTCCACATCTTTAAATAACTGCCTGCTCTAGATAGCTGATAAAGAGGCTTCCAAAGGGAAACTAACTTATTCTAGAGCTGGAAGGTTTATTTTGAATGAGGAGGGGTTGAGAAGAATATGTTCATCTTCAGAAGTTCTTGTAAAACAAAATGATTAAAATCGGTTTTAAAATGTACACCTGAGATTTGCCCTTTCTTTCCCAAATTAATTGTACCATGGGGATTTATAATGGGACTTCATAAAGAATTTGGGGTATACAGAGACGAGAAATGTTTGGATAACACGTAACGGTGCAAAATGAATTGCATCAGCATGACTGCATTTAGCACACTGGAGAATCTTTGAAGCTGATTTTGGAAGATTTTCTTGAAAATATTTGAGGTTTCTAGCTTAGTTTTCAAACTCAGTTTGTGAGTAACAGAAGTGAGTTCTCACTTCAGGTAAAAGCTGGAATTCTTGCCTGATGACTCAAGGAATTAAACAAAGGGGAGCAGGTATAGAACACAGGAAAGTCTTGACATAAGTTGCTTTTCAGGTTACAGTGCTTACTCATTCTTTATTGACAATAAGGAACTGTATGAAAATGACTTTATACCTGTTTTATCATTGAAAAGCTAAAAACTGATACTGTGTGCGAACAATGGATTTAGATCAGAAAAAGTTCTTGTCCACTCCGTAGCAGAGGGAGGGAAATGTGGGTTAATCCTGACTGTCCAAGACAACACAAATGCATATCCAGTGTTACAATTGTCAAGATAAATTATGCTTTTAGGGTTCTGGCTCTTACTTTTCAGTATGGGTTTCTGACCTTTGTTTTCAGCTACTTTACTGCTGTAAAAGCTAAGAAGTCATCATGGATAGAGAACTAAGTATTTTGGGTGTATTCAAGGATCCCAGATTTAGGAAGACGTAAACTTTTGTTTCATTGAATTTGTTTTCTTATCAAGCTTAAGGTTCACTGTTTCTCTTGCAAGAATATGTGTGCCCTTGCTTAAAGGACCACAGAACTTGGCTCACACCCCTGAGAGGTCTGTCTGAGGTGTGCATATGCTGGTACACCCTAATATTAAAGTAGGAATGTAGTGGTGTGTTTGCCTGATGCCTTGCAGCTAGTGGAACAGCACTCAGTATGTCCACACAGCTACTTTGTTCACTGTTTTGATGATCTACAACACCTAGCAAAAATCTTGTTCCTTTTTGTGGCACTCGCGTCTTCAGGATTGTAATATTACAGCTGGAGTTATGGCACATGCGTTGCTTCTGATGCAGGATCAGATACGCCTTCCTGCCACAATAACAAGAAGATGTTCTTATGCTTTGTTAGAATTCATTTGCTTTTATGAAATTTCAGTTTCATTGCAGAGGCAATGATTGACCTTTTTTTTCTCTTTTTTTTTCTCCCCCAAATTGATTACAATCCATTTCCAAGTAAGCGGCTTGGCTGCAACAAAGGTTGAGCATTATAACTTTTGCCCTGAAGACTAATCCAAGCATATAAATAAATTCCATCTTCTGTAATTGTTACTGGTGTCTTTCCTTATCTTGTAGCTTCCTGCTTACTGGAAGATGTCAGCAGTTGGAATAGTGTCCTCCTGTTCCTGTCTGCGTCCTAGTGTATGGCTGCTGAAACCAGGAATCCAGAAGGCAAGCTCCTTTGGTTTACATATGGCAGCCAGGTGTGCTGCCAAGGATTACTATGAAGTACTTGTGTTGGGTGGAGGTGCTGGTGGAATCGCCATGAGTGCCCGGATGAAGAGGAAAGTAGGGGCAGAAAACGTGGCTGTTGTTGAGCCAAGTAAGGTGAGTCTTCCTCTGCTGTCTAGCATTAAAAAGATAAGCATGTTACGTATGTGACCAGATTGGTCTGATTCTCATCCTTCTCCAACCTCACATGTTTTTAACTGTGGAGAGGAAGCTAACTGGCCAGCTTTAAAAAGGCTTCATATTATGTTTGTTGTGCCACATTAGAAGTGCATGCATCCTTTCAGCTTTGCAATGCAAAACTTTTGGTCATTTCTTCAGCTTCCTTTGTTAAGTATAATACAATGTGAAGAGCACATTGTTTCCTATTTGGAGTAATGTGCCTTCACCTTGCAGTCCCTTTAAACAGTTCTTACATGTGCATTTGAATATTTCTTTCAGACTCATTACTATCAGCCACTGTGGACCCTGGTTGGTGGTGGTGCAAAGCAGCTGGCAACTTCTGCACGTCCAACAGAAAGTGTAATGCCGGCAGGTGTTGAGTGGATCCAGTCTCGAGTTACAGCATTAGATCCAGATAAGAACTGTGTCTATGTGGAGAATGGCAGCAAGGTAACATGTAAAAAAAATAAGTTAGTCTCTTATCCTATGTCATGAGTTGTCTGTCCACCTCCTGCAGATCCCCTTGGAACTGCCTATTGAATAAGGCCCTCCCCCAGCATCTAGGAGGCCAGGAAATTGTGCTTCGTGTCATGAGAAGTACTTAATCCTAAAATGTGTTTCTAAAAAAAAAGAAAAAATGTTGTAGATAACTGCGTTAGAATCAACATAAAATATTGTTATTGTCTGTCTACAGTGAGCTGAACACAAAAGAGAGAATATTTTGCTCCAAACACTTGGTTTTATGTATAACAGGATCTGTAACTCATAATGCAGTTAGCATTTTAACTATAAAAATAGTTATAGAGCTTAACATTTATGTTACTAATGCTCTTTGTATATCCTTCCCTTATGGCTGTTGCCATCATATAACTCCAACTTGCTTTGAGGTACTTTTGTTTCTTTGTCTAAGATGTGTTTTGGGTTTTTGTTGTTTGTTTTTTTCTTTCTTCTAGATATCTTATAAGTACCTGATAATTGCCCTTGGGATTAGTCTGCATTATGAAAAGGTATTTGTTTTACAGTCCTGTTTTCCCTAGTTCTGATGGCATCACATATCATTATGATTCACTAAAGTAAAGGGATTTTCAATGCACTTTTTTTTTACTGCAATATACTGAATGCTAACATGAATTAGAGAGCCAGGAGACAGCCTAATGACTTTGCTCCTCCCACAGATGTCTCTCTAATAACCTGAACTGCCCTTCCAAAGGTCTTTTAAGACATCTTTGTTGCATCTCTAGCAACATCAGCAGACAGAACAAGTTCAATCTAGAATTTAAAGGCAGCCTGTAATAATGAGTGTGCTGACTGTGGTCCAAAGCATCTATAATGTCAATGGAAGTGAGAAACCCATAGCAGTCAGTAAAATCTGTCCCACAGAATTAATTTGACTCACCCTCATCTTTCTTAAAAGATACACTTCAAAAGGAACTGGCTGAGCTATCATGCTTGTGATTAAATAGGCCTTTGGGCCCTTCCTGTCTATTAGGTTTCCTGTACACTTTATCCAGCGGCACTCAGGAAAATGTTAATACCATTGTATGGCACAAGAATGACCATGGACATAGATAGGAAGAGGAAAACACAAAGGCAAGATGTTTGAGTGATTTAACTCGCATGGTTTTAACCTGAGCTGAGTATGATGTAGTACTGATAATGTATTTGATTATCTCTTTGAAAAGCTCCCAAGGCATATGTAAAGCAAGAGCTAGCCTTAGTTAATCGGATGTGGTGACCTAGAATTTATCTGGTGATTAGGTTAGTGGAGTGAGGAGTTCCATTGTGTTCAGTGATCCTCTCAGTCTTCACAGGTATCTCTTGAGTACAACCTGATAAAACTACATCCAGTATTCAGTAGTAGAAGTAATCACCATTAGTTTGTTGTGAATAAAACTCACAGAAACAGGTTTATGTGGCTTTAAAACGAAAGTGGCCAGTGTAAGAAGAGAGATGGTTTCTCTTCCTTGTCTTCACCAACAGCACACTTCCTGGGGTAGACTGTAACTTCCCAAACACACTGCAGTGCATGTAACATGACTCTGTCTCAGAATTTCTGCAATCCATTATTTTGAAATGGGGATGACTCCCTTTCTAACAAACAGATGCTCCAGTGTAGTAGGAGTTATAGGGAAATAACTAATGGAGACAGTTAAAACAAAACCCTAGGAAATACAGGTATCTGCAACTGAATACTGAAGAGTTTTGTTCAGCTGATAAATTTTCATAATGCCTTTTTTTTTTACACATGATTTTTACTTACAGTGATTTGGCAGTGACTTTATATACTCTGAATTTCATGCAGTAGTCTACAAAAACATGGGTCTTGGTTTGCACTGAACTCTTACACCACAGATGCCGCAGATCAGTATCATTTCACTAAACATTGCATCTACTGAATCATCTACTAAATTCTAATGGAAATACCTGTTTGATTGATTCTTTTCAAAAATGCCAACTAGCAAGTATGTATGGGCTTTCTTTTTGCTAGAGGCTTCTTAAATAGCTATTTCTTAAGCCTGCGTTTAATACTTGATGACGATGACAAAATTCTGCAATCCATAATTTCATTTCCTTAGATCAAAGGCTTGCCTGAAGGTTTTCATCACCCTAAAATAGGTTCCAATTATTCAGTACGTACAGTAGAGAAAACGTGGAAAGCTGTACAAGATTTTAAGGAGGGAAATGCTATCTTCACTTTTCCAAACACTCCAGTGAAGTGTGCAGGGGCTCCTCAGAAGATCATGTATTTATCAGAGGCCTACTGGAGGAAAGTAAGTATTTTGCTCTTTCTGCCATTGCTTGTTCCCACAGTTGGAATCCAGGCTTGTTCTAAGGGGTTCATAGTGTCTTTAAAACAAAGGAAAAACACACAAGGGAAATGTGACACAGCATTATTAAAGTGACTGAGTCGCTTTTTCCATTACTAAGGTATAATAAATGCAGGAAACTGAACTATACATAAATATTAACATATATTTAATACTGGAGAAGCTTCTAGAATTCAGAATCCATAAGCAAAGAACTTCTCGCCCTACTTCCGGTGAGCTGCAGATACAACTGTTCTCAGCCTCATTTATAACTTCAGTTGGTGCTCTAAACGCTGGCTGGGATTAAGTAATTCTTAATACTTTAATACCTGTTGCAGTTTGTCTTTCTGCTAGTCTGAAAATGGCTTTGTTTGCTCCTCATGGTGCACTGTATCCACATCAGGAGGAGTCTTAGCCACGCTGTCAGAGCAAGCTTAGTGTGGATAGAAGACAGCTTCAAGTGCAAGTGTCAGGCTTCAGACGTGTTTAAGTTTCCTGAGCTGTCTACTGGGAGAGTACCTGAATAATGCATAGAAGTGGAGATTTCAGAAAGCTCTGTAGTGCTAAGCAGCGACACATGCTGACCCTGCATACATCAGCTCCTCAGTGAACTGCAGCTGCCTCCTCTCATAGCAATTTGGGAGGGGAGGGTGTCTTCAGTACTTCACTCAGAAAAGGCAAAGATTATCTTGTCTAGCTTCTAACGTGGCATGAAACAGCTGTGTCTGAGAGTTTTAATGTTAGTACTTAATTAATAATTGAACTGTATTAATAGTTCTATCAGCTCTTCAGTAGTGCAGCACAATTCTGTTGTCTCTGCTAGCTTATGTCAGTTTCTTAATCAAAAAGGCTAATTTGATCTCTCTGTGCAGACAGGAAAACGGTCCAAAGCCAACATAATGTTCAACACTTCACTTGGTGCCATTTTTGGTGTTAAGAAGTATGCTGATGCATTGCTTGAAATAATAAAGGAGAGGGATATCACTGTTAACTATAAGCGCAATCTCATAGAAGTTCGAGCAGACAAGCAGGAAGCTGTGTTTGAAAATCTGGACAAGCCTGGAGTGACTGAAGTTCATCAGGTCAGGAGCTTGCAGACCTTTAGTTTGGTCCTGTTTGTTTTCCTTGTATACTGTAAATAACTGCCACACTATGAACACGTGCTGTCTGCTTCCTTCTATACTGCCATTCCCTCCTGACAGTACCATCTATAACTTTAGCAGAGGATTAAACAGTTTGAAATTGAGAAGGAGAGAAGGAAAAAATACTGAATGAAACATGGCTGGAGTCCTGTCACCTTGTTAGTGTAACTCGGTAATGTCTTGGACGCATATAGAGAAAAGAAATTGCTGTTTTAAATGGAGTTGCCTGATAAGGTTCATGTTAAAAAAAAAAAAAAAAAGGTGCACTTCAAATTTGAGGACAAATTTTCATTCTATGTACTAAAAAAACCCCAACCAATAAGGACCCACAAACCAAACAAACCCCCCCAGAAAAGCCCTTTCCACACTGTGCTTATTGCTTCATATGAACCCAGGTACAATGTGCTCTGATAAACTAGCTGTTGAGTGCCTTTTCTTTCTCTCTAGTATGAAATGCTTCATGTCACACCCCCCATGGGGCCACCTGATGTCCTCGTCAACAGTTGTGTCTCGGATGAAATTGGCTGGGTGGATGTAGATAAGGAAACTCTACAACATAAAAAGTACCCTAATGTGTTTGGCATTGGAGACTGCACCAACCTTCCAACTTCCAAAACTGCTGCAGCCGTAGGTGAAGTTGCACATGTGTGTGTTTGTGTGTGTAATGAGAAGTATGGGAGTGACAGAGTTTTTTAGTTTCTTACTCCTGAGGACTTGACTTCAACTATGCCAAGCTTTGTAAAAGACCTGTGTCTCCTGGAATAATGAACTAATGGCATTTTCTGTGTCTGCAGAATGGCATGAAACGAGCACACTGCTCTTGCATTCCATCACCCCTCAGTAACAAAATTTTCTGCTCTATCTTCGCAGCTCATGCGTATGAGTCAGCGAACCGATAAGTCACTATTGAAGAATCACATGTTCTGTAGCCACAGGGTCCAATATAAACCACTTTTGGCATATAGTCTCACAACTAAAAAAACTGAAAGGAAGGTTATCAGTATGTTCCTGGTGTAACTTGAAGAATGGTATAGTCAACTGTTCCAGCAAATGGGTCTAGAGTACCTCCCTTCCAGTACTCAAAATGAAACAAAAGTCTGTGTACTGACCTTAGTGCTGGGGAATATTGACCAAGTATAATTTCATACAGGAGAATGGCCATAGACTAAAAACATACAGCTAAAGTGTTACTGAGCTTTGGCAGGTTGGAAACAGTGAGGCTAAAGCATTATTCCAGTTTTTTGTTTTTTTCTTACCTGGGACTGTGGACTTCCCAAACTGATTTGACACGCACATTCAACTCCAGCTGAACTGCCCAACAAAATGCCTGGCTGACAGTGTTTGCTCTAGTAATGGCAGTAATTGCTGCCTGAAACAAAGCTCTAACACACTTTCATATTCTTTTGTAGCTGCCCAGTCTGGAGTGCTTGAGAGAACTATTTCCCTGGTAATGAAGAACCAGTCACCAACTAAAAAGGTACCTACAGATCCTGTGTTAGAGAAGTTGTCTTAAATGTTTTCTATGTTCTCATGCAGGAAGTCTTGCAAGCAGCTAAGGGTGTGAACCAGAAGGCAGGAAGGGCAGGAAGAGGGTGCTAAATGCTGTGTTACAATAGCAATTGAGTTGCACAATTCATATTCTTGATACTGCCATTAAAAATACTATTAAATTTCCTGGCTTCTCGGTTGAAAGTTTAAACACTGATCAGTCCGGGTTCTTCACCAATGCGGGAGACTTAGAGTAAAACCTGACTGCTATAATGCCTGCTCCAGGAAAACCCTTGCAGATCTGCTGTTTCTGTACAAAGTTGAAACTGGCCTCCCCTGCACAGAACAGGATCTCTTAAGAACTTAAATTGAAGGTTTTGTACTACAGAAGGTGTTAAGCCTATAACTGTGCTCAAATTTCTCTGAGACTTGGGTTTCATTTTACCTATGGCTTCCTTGTGGTACTAACCTGAGGATCATTATCCATAGTCCTGCCATCCTCTGGAAATTCTTGTAGCTGGATTCAAGGTCCTGTTTTTATACACTGCCTGTTAAAACCAGCACCACCTCTCATCCTCATCTACTGCTCACCTGTTCTTCTGCTTACAAAAACCAATTAATACAAAAGCCCTGTTCTAGGTCAGTTCTGATTTTACCAATGCTAAACAAATCCACATTTGAAATAACATGGCTGTGTTATGGTTATTAAACCGCAACTGGCTTTGCAGCCTCCCCAAACTTGCTGATATTAATGCTACACATACAGAAACCTCCTAGCAACTTATTTTGAAACATGAATGTTAACCATCTGGATTGTAATACTTTGGCATTTAGACTTTGCTCAGGGTAATGAACAGAGGTGTTCTTCATTGCAGTATGATGGATATACTTCCTGCCCGCTAGTAACAGGCTACAACAAGGTGATTCTAGCAGAATTTGACTACAACGCTCAGCCACTGGAGACCTTTCCCCTTGACCAGAGTAAGGAGAGAGTAACCATGTACCATATGAAAGCTGATATGATGCCTTTTCTCTATTGGAATGCACTACTCAAGTAAGTATTTGAAAAACGAAAACCTCATTGAAACAAAGGTTCTCCAAAACAAACTCCCAGCACTCCCCTCTTAGCAAGTATAGGATCTTAGGGGAGTAAACCAGAAAACACTCCCCCCCATACCCTACTTTGATAGTACATACATGAACTTGATGAAAGAACTTTCTCCATTTCTAGGGGATACTGGGGAGGACCAGCTCCTATCAGGAAGCTTATGCACCTGGGCTTGAAGTAACTGCTGCCTGGTCAGTCCTTGTTGAAGGGCTGTTCTAACAGTGGATCAGTACACAGCTTCCCTCTTGGGCCACCTAGTAGTGGTTTGTTTTCTTAAATCAAGTGTTTGTCCTAAAGTCACTTCTTCCCTTACTAGGGGTTAAGCCTTCATATCCTTTCACTGCTTTTCTAAATAAACCAAGGCCTTAAACTACTTCTCTACACAGACAGGAGTATGAACTTGCCTCAAGCTACTGAACACTACTGGAATTGTCTGGGGACATCAGTAATTTTAAAGCTGTTGTATATCTTAGATCTTTTCCAACCTTAAAATGTATTGTCTGCATTCAAGATCACTGTGTGCACGGAATTTAACAGAATTCAATGCTAGTAAAATAGCCTGAAAACAGCCTATTGTGGTCTCATGTTTGAAAAGGAAGATCGACCCCAGTTTCTTCAGCAAGATGATCCCTAATCAGACAGATCAGAAATTAATGTAAATTCTTCCCTTCTATTAACCTGCATTAAGTGTATATGAGTAAATATGTGTGTACACACTATGATGTTTTGCTGTCACAAGCTAGTAACATGACTGGGAGAAAACCGAGTTCATTTGAGGCCCCATGAGACTGAAGCACAAATTAAGATGAGAGACAAGGGGGAAGTGCTTTTTAATTATGACCATGTATAACTCGGTTTCAAGGGAAGATTGAACAAAGTCGAATTTAAGAGTCGAGAGTCTTCACAGAAGCTGGAACTTTAGTGGCAGGCAGGTAGGCAGCGCGGAGCAAACAGGAGTCATCTTCACTCACAAGAATCAGAAGCAGCTTATTTCTAAACAGAAAGATACATGTGAACGTGTTACAGCTTTATGCTTTTTGACACAGACTTTAAAAGGATTGACTCTGAGTTGCAATTACAAGCATAAACATGTACCTGCATATTAAGTAATTCTTCAATCTTATTCTGGATCTGTCCATACACCTCATTAAACAGCTCCTCCTTGGATTTTGTTCCATTCAAATGCACTTAAAGTAAGAAAGTAAAAGAAGAGAGCTATAATTGAAACTTTCTGTAAGACCAACAGATCTGAAACAGCATGCATTTGACAGGTATCACAGAAATATCCTCCATCCACCTGCTTCAACTCTTCTTGTACATCTAACCAGCACATATATCCCAGTTTGAAAAGAAGTCTCCTATAGCAATCTTTCCAAAGTGCTTTTGTCATTAAAAGACTTACCCACATCAACTCCAAGATCTTCCATTATCTTCCTGTGCTTTACATACATAGGCCAAACGTGGCCATCAAACAATCCAGGTGGATCTGGTACAGTGTAATTCCTTGAACTATAAATTAAGACATTGTTACTCGAGCGTAGTAACTGCAGTTCAGGGAGATGACAGATAGTTGATTCAGTCTCTCTACACACTAGCTTGAGCCTATTGCCTCCCGTGTAGTTCCTGAGCTTATCAAAAGTTAAGTATTTAGCATAAGCCACAAAGATACCCACAAAAGTTGGAATTTGATGTGTGGGTCCAAAATGTTCCAAATGCAAAAAGGATTCTTAAGACAGACTAATCTTAACATTGATCAATAATCCTCTCTTAAAGTAGAACTTTGGGTAAACACCTGTCTGCTCAGTCCTCTGAAATATATGTTCAAGTTTAATGTTTCATTTGCATTAAGAGCAGTGTATGTGTGCCACAATACATCCTTGGGAGAGAAGGATGAGAGAAGGTTAGAGAACCCCAGGATAGTTTGAAATGTACGCAACAGCTCGGTAGGAAGCTTTTGGGTTGTTTGGGGAAGGAAGCTACAATCTAACACAGCAGCTACATTACTGTTTATCCTTTCTCATTTAAAAGCTTCAGAGAAACAGTCTTGAGGAGAGTAAAATGTTGTTGGGCTAGCAGGGGAACCTAGAAACAACAACTCACCTTCTTCTTCTTTTACACTCTTCATACGGAATGGAAAGGAAGTACCGGTGGTGGAACACATCAATCAGCGGCCTGAAAGACACACGTCTGGTTACAGCTAAGCTGTTTGATTAGTAGCAGGAAAAAGTAAAACTACATCAATTTCCTGCACCTAGAGCTATCTTCAGACTTGTGATACCCACACTCAGGAGTAATCAATACCAGCTGCTAAGTCTTGGTTTAGAAAAGGTCTTTTTTTTCTCTTGGAGGTTTGCCTATCACATAAAAGCAAAATACATGAAGGCACATCTGATTACCTGTAGGTGTAAAGTAGGAAGCCTTCAACAATAAGAATGTGGATTGTTTCATCTTCTCCCTGCTTATCTTCTAAGATCGGGGCATCCAAAGTGTTGTTGATACCATGAGAACGTTCAAACTTGACTGGGTTTTTTATCCAAGCATTTATGGTACTCATCATAGCTTCCATGTCTAATGCACTAATCACTAAGACAAAACAGACAACTATCACTAAGCAGTAATTAATATCATCTAGCAATAAGAGGGTACAAAAACAGTGCACATAAAGCATCAAAAAACCACAAACTTTTAAATTTCATAATGCTGTAGCAAAACCTTACCATCATACTGTTTAAACCCATCTTCAACTTCTATTTCATCTTGGGGCTGAAACAATAAGAAAAGAAACTCTTTGGTCAGAACAGCTACTGGAAAGCTTGTTACTCATTTCACAGTAAGATTCAATATCTGACCCTTGAAGCCACACGGAGAAATCTTAACCCTCCACCAGGTTTCTTTGCATGCAGATAAAAAGCAGTAGTAACGAGTCTAAGATAAAGTCGCCTGCTCCTCTATCTTCCCACCAACACAAGCACGCCGCATAGCAAGGAAAACGTGAAGTCACCGGACGCAGTACAGCACAGGCTTATCCCGCAGCCCAGCTGAACACGGCAGCGGGGGCCGGACAGCCGAGGGGAGGAGAGGGGAGCGGAGGGGAGCGGGGCAGGGCAGCGCGGCAGGCGGGCAGGGCGCCAGGATCCGAGGGCGGAAGCACGCGGGGGTCACCCCTCGGCTTCCCGCGGGCGGGCTGGCGCGGCTCACCTTGAAGAAGTCGTCCTGGTGCACCACGCTGCAGTTGGGCAGGGCCTGCATCAGCCGCCGCGTCAGGGTGGTCTTCCCGCCGTTCGTGACCCTGCGGCGACAGCGACCGCGCGTGGGAAGCGCGCCGGGCACGTGCGCGGGGCCGTTCCCCCTCACCCGCCGCGCTCGCGCCACTGCGGCACGAGGAGCACCGAAGGGGCGGGGGGAGGGAGGAGGGGGGGGGGGAAGGAGAGGGCCCAGCGCCACAGCAGAATCCCCCGCCCGCCCCGCGGCTCCTACCCGCCGATGCCGATGATGATGTTCATGGCGCGTCCGGCAGCCGCCCGGCCCGACTCCTGCAGCCCGGTCCTGAGGGGCGGGGTGGTGAGGGAGAGGGACTGGGGACCCGGTGTCTCCGGTACCGGCCGCCTACGTGCCTGAGCCGGGACCCGGGGAGAAAGGGGCTGAAAAAGGAGAGGAAGGTAGAGAGGGGAAAGGCCAAACGTCAACTGCCGGGCAAGGCCATGGTCGGAGGAGGAGGGAGCAGCAGCAGAGCTAGTCCGCGCCGCGCCGGAGCGCTCCGCAAAGGGAGGCGGGCTCCCGCTGCGTGCGGGTTCCCCTCGCGCTCTTGCGCGCCCATTGGGCGGCTGACACCGCCCTGCAGCCAATGGAAATAACAGAACGCTGACTCCTTATGGTTATTGGGCAGCGCGCCCTCACTCACACCCGACAAGGTTCCGGCGCGGCGGTTCGGCGGCGCTCATTGGCAGCCGCTTTGGGGGGGGTGTCAGCTGCACCAATGGCAGGAGCGTCGCGCCCTGAGGGGCGGCTCTGGCGGCTGCAGCGCGCTGTGGGTGCGTCGCGCTGGGGCGCGCGCGCTCTCCTCAGGCTGCGCCGCCAACTGTCCGGGGGCCGTTACAGCGGCTGCGGCACCGCTCGCGGTAGCGGGCGGACCCTGCGGGCAGCTCCGCCAGGGTGGGTGTTGGCCGTACCGAGCTCCTACCGCTCCTCTCCGCAGGCGGCTCTTGGCAGCCGCTGCAGCACGGGCCGAGTTTTAGACCCATCGCCTCGCCCGCAAAACGGCGCCGTAGTGCTGCGGCTGCCCGGAGCGCCACGGCAGAGAGGGGAAAGGCCCCGGGGTCGGGCCGTGCCGTGCGGTGCGGTGTGGCTGGGAGGGGGGAGGGCACGAGGGGATGGCGTGCGCTGCACCGGCTGCTCTGGGGCAGGGTGACCCCTGCAGCTCTGCGGAACAAAGCGCGGCGGATGCGCTGCATCCCGCGGCCAAGGTCATGGGCGGGCCTTGGGCCGTGAAATGCGGTAGTTGTAACAGGCGTGAGGGAACCGGCCTGAGGAGCTCAGTGCGGGGGGTCTGTCTCCTGCAACCCCCCGGTCTCAAGGGCAGTTGTAGAGCACACGCGTTTCCTTGGAGGGTGTGTTTGTCCCTCAGCTGCCCGTGCAAACCGTGGGACCGGCAGTTGCTGCGCTTGAGGGACGGCACCTCTTGTGAAAGCTTTTTCCCTTGTATGAAGAAGGAAATGTCATGGTCACAGCCTGTTTTTATTGTTACTTGAGTTTATTCTTAGTAACATTAAACTCCATAATTTACAAACTGGTAGCTCAGTTTGTTGACCCCACGGTGTTTACAGCAGCAGTGGGTGGTGTGTTGCCAACCATGCGGCTTCTCGGCTGTTGGTGATTTTTACCAGTTTTCTCCTGCTTAGGCTCCAGTTCATTTCTCTCGCAGTTATTTTTAATTTCCAAATGACACATCATTTGGGCTCTTGGCTTTTTTTTTTTTTTTTTTTTTTGGTGGGAATGGGCAGTTAGTGAAAAATGCAGTTTTTCTTTCATTTTGTGACTAATCTCATTTCCACTTCGCAACAGAGGAGCTGCCTTGGTGGAGTTGTGTGTTTTGTTTGCATGGGGTTTTTTTTATGTGTGTGTCTACTTGGCTTTTGAAAGAAGTTTCAAATCTCTTCAGAGAGTACCAACACTCCTAGACTAATGGAGGTCTCCCCAGGGTAAAACCCTATTCTCAGCTTTCCATGAAGCTTCACAAAGGCAGAAAGCCGATATCTAATCATACTAGATAGTAGTGCAGGTTTAAGGAATGCCTCTCACACTAAATCCAAATTCTGGTAAAATCAGGATGCTCTTTCCAAGCAGTTAAATTCACTCTACCACAGGATTTCTGCTGTTTGGCTCTAAGGTTCTTCCAAAATCTTGGTCACTTACTGTTTTTTACTCCTCACCTTTCACCAAGCAAAATGCATTCTTCAAGCTTGATGCTCAAAACTGATTTTTGATCTAAAAATACAAATTCCCCTGTTTTTACCACACCTTGCCATTGAGATAAATACACAACTGTTCCAGGATTTTAACATGAGATAAATATCAAATAAGCAAAGTAGAGATAATGAACAAACTAGAAGCACAGTGGTTTTTGGAAAGGCAATGAGGCTGAAAAATGCTGTTCGCATCAATTCAGCACTGACAGAGCTGGAATGAAAATGACAACAACCAGACTCAGAAATCCCTGTGATTAAACAGCTCCTCTGGGGAAGGGTGATGGCAGCCTGTGCCTGCCGATGTGATGATTGACATACGCTAACACACTCACTGACAGCCCGGAGTCCAGGATTTGTCATGATCAGACCTTGAGTCTAAAGGCCAGTTGTGAAGAACAGGTAAGTTTAGTGATGTTATTTATCAAGATTACCATGCACCTCTCATGGTCTATGGAAAGGGAGAATTCTGTTTTGATTCAGGCAAACATTTTTCACTCCTACAGAACTGGTATTTTATGGCTAAAATACAGTAAAATTTTGAATACTTTTTAATACACAGCTATGGTAGAACAAATGGAATGTTAGGCTCAGTAAAGTGTATCTGAACATAAAGCTCTCAGGCGCTTTAAGGCTGCAGACCCCAGAATGGCTGTGTATCCTGCCCATCTCATTCCACATCTGTGTCTGTGTGTGCTAGCCATTTCCCTGGCCCTTTGTCTCTCTCTCCTCAATGATACTGCTGCTATGGTGAAAAATAGAGGGAAAGAACAACAGGATATTGTCCAGTTCAACTCTGTGTGCCAACAGTGACCAAATGTTGTTTTCTCCTCGATTTGCAGATTCTGGTTGCCTTTTATTAGTCCTGAGGAAGCCCAAACACATTCAGATGTTTTTAAAACTCTTCCAATTTGTGTGGAAACCTTGAGCCTTGGAGGAGGAAGGTGGTGTCCTGTGCCCCTGCGCAGACATTCCCGTCCTGGAGTATGACACTGACTCATGCAGAGGAAAAGAACAGTTCTGTTGTAAAACACAACAGGAAGACATCCAGCGGTGTTGTGTGCCAGGAGGACACCTGCAGCGCTGCCGCAGGGGTGGAATCGAGCCACAGGCTGCATGGATAGTGCTGGGAAAACTGCACGGCTGCACAGATCTGACGCCAAACCAGGGTGCTATTTTTGGTTTCCGTTCTGCTTTTCTGACACCTATAGGTAAGCGTGAAGTGCACAGCAGGCTTCTGCAGCATCTTGCAGAGAGAAGGATCTGGGATCACAGTGAGGCATTCTTGCTTAGCACTCAGGATAATTATAACCCGGGGATATGAACTGTAGATGCGCTGGAGTTGCCAAGACTCTCCGGAGGTGGCTGCGTGCCAGTGCCTGAATGAGGAGGTACCACCCTGCCAGGACTCCTGGGAGCAGCAGGTAACACCCAGGTACACTCGGAGCCCCACGGAGGTGGATGGCCCGATGCTGGGGGTATGGTGGGAGGACAGCAGGCGTTGAACAGGGGTTTTTTGGGTGGGGATGTTTCTGTATCTCATTTGATGCTCGGCTCAGTCAGTCTGCTTTCAAAACAGGTTATTTGTGTATAGTGACATACTTCATGATTTTTAAGAAAATCTTAGCTTTGATACTGTTTCCTTAGCATGAAATAAACCCCCAAAATCTGCAAGTAATGTGAAGAGTGGGTGAAAGCTTTGGCTTCTCTATGTCCTCATGGTTCTGTGAGCCACTGTCCCTTCTTTCTGCACCCAAACAAGGCATCAATGGTAATAGAGGCCATTGTGAGAGGATGAAGTGAGGTGAAAAATCATAATTGAGCCAGATGAGTTATATTAAGACCATCGAGGATAAATATAGAGTAACTTATGACACATTCTGCAATAATATATCACATAGGCCATCTAAAGCTAAGAGCAAACATAACAAATGCTTTGAAAGATAAATTGCAGAACCTTAAATGATATGCTTGAACTGGGAGAAGTGATGAAGAGTAAGAAAACCACTAAGGTGAAAGAAATAGATCTGCTGATTACATAATTGTGGGCCTATATAAGAAATGTCTGTGATGGGGTAAGTTTACATTGTTTGCTTGTGGAGGCTTCAGTGGGGCGTCAGGAAGATTGAATTGATGAAGCTGTAACTTCTTTTATCAAAACACCCCACACCTTCTTTATAAATTAACACATTATAATATTGTTTGAACGATGCGGGGCATGAAGAAGTTGTTATGATAGGCTACTCTATAGCCCTATGTTTGATTTGAAGGGAGACAGTAGTAGTCTTTAACCACTATAAAGATTTTTATGATGGCTTCAGGGCACTTAAAGTCAGCTTCCTGGTTGTGTTGCCAGTTCAGGAGTGCTGTGTCAATAGTTTTATATGTTCTGGGAAGCTCTAGGCTCTGATGAACGGTTTCTGTTGCTGGTGTACAAAGCTTTTTTTTTTTTTCTCCCTCTTATGGGCATTTTGGAGTTGTAAAATATCCTTTATTTTGAGCTTTTGTGTATCTACGAAGAGTAACTGTATTAGATGTAAGAACAAAACTTTCTTTTGCACTGGTTTGTAAATGTTAAGCATTCGATCTGTTGTGCTTCAAAGCTCTGCTTAAAACCTGACCATAAATTGTTATACAAGACCTAACTTAATTCGAGCATTAGTTTTGCTACTCTTCTGTAAAGAAATCAGACCTCATACTCCTGTCTGCCTGGGAGTGTATGTGTGGAGTTCTTAGCCCTGACTTCTGACATGAACATGCTGATTTAAATTTATGCTACTCTTCTGTCCAGGTATGTTTAAGATTTTTAGAGCTTTGTTTTAGTCTTCTGAAACGTGTATTGCTCAATAACTGTAACAAGACTCTGATATATTTTAGTATAAATTTAACTAATACTTTCTTTGCAGGTATACTCATCAGATGCTTTGGGTGATTTTTACCAGTGAATCTGCACAAGGAACTTAGGAGCTGCGTCTTGGTCCTTTCTACTGCTTTAACTCCTAGAGAGATAATTGTGCTTAACAAGACCTTACTATCTGCTGAAAATACAATGACTGAATTCCTGGTTTGTTTTAACTGGTGCAATGGTGAACAGCCCCAGCCGGTAGGTAGATGCACATCCATTATCAGATTTGAAGTTATCTTTCAGTTATGTGGAAAACACTTTGATTGTCATGTTGTTTTAATTAGTTTGAGCTAAATAACATAAAAGAATAAACCAGACCGTGTTTGGCCATGGGAGTGTTTGCAGTTCTTAGGCCCTGACTTTCCAACATTAAAGAGAGTTTTTTGCTAAAATTCATTTAGCGGTAATAGAGAGCATTTAACCCTGTTTTATGGCAGGAAGGCTGAAACTTCAGCCCAGTTACCATGAGGAGTCATTAGGGGTCAGTATTGGCTGTCTTTTTTTAATCTCAGCTGCTTGTATCTGTCTGAAAGCTGCTCACGTTTGCAGAAGAGACACCTAAGGTACCTTCTTTCTTATAGAAGAGGCGCCGGAGACTGGACCGGAATATGATAGGAGAACCAATGAACTTTGTACACACTGCGCATGTTGGGGCAGGAGAGATGAGTAGTGACTATACATCAGTAAGTGTACACCTCTTGGATAAGCAGAGATCTCCCCTCAGTAGCCTGTAGAGCAGGTAGCTAATAAACCTCTAGATTATTGTGAGCGAGAAATTGACTTTTACTTTTCTTTTTTTTTCCTTAATAGAATAGCATCAGAACAGAACTGCCCTTTAGTTTGTAAACATAAGATACTGTGGAAAATACATACAGCAAGAAGTGCTCATTTCCCCAGTCTTTACGTATCAGAATCTTTTGGATAAGGATGCTCTGGATGCACTTGATAGTCGGTCCAAATAACACATCACCTTGGAGTCAAAGCTCTGCCAGAGTGATGTGAGAATAAGTGGATTTGGGATAACGGGACCCACCTTATGCACTGACTTAAACCAGTACTTAACAGTCCAGTGTTTAGCTGTTATTTTTCCTACCACCACTGGAACCACCACTGTAATCATACGGCTCATCTGCCTCTTCAAATCAATGCTTTTATTAGTTGCTCTGGCAACCATACTTTATAAGTTGTGTATTCTAATAAAGTTTTTTTTCTAGGCTGTATCAATTCAGGACCACATGAAGTCTAAAGGTGGCTACACAAATGGCACTGCTGCAACTGTTGAGATATAGGAAACCCTGAGAAGGCCACAATCTGCTCTGTCTTATGAGGACCCCCTGGACTGTGCTTTCAGATTCTCTAAAACCTCTTCACCATGGAGTAGGCAGAGTTCTCAAGTTTTAAATAGGCCAGTGCAAGCTTTGGTGTTCTTTGCGCCGTAGCTACTGAAGGAGTTACTGTAAGTTATCCTTAAAATGGTCTGTCTTGGTAGTGTTGTAGTCGCAACTGTAACTTGTCACTGTGCATGACTTCCTAGCTGTGTCCCAAAAAACTTGCAAGTTATAAGATGGGATTGGAAGTCAGTATGAATTGCCTGGGGATTTAGTCTGTGTCTTTTTCTCTCCTCAAGGAATGCCAAAGTTAGTTTAATTGGAAAGTACCACGTGCCTGCACTTCTTACATGGGCTAAACTGAATTGCTAAGTGGGATCCTGTAGCCTGTACTATAACTTTAGCGTGGTTTTTAGGTGGCTAACGACCTACTGCATAAATTTACTGAGCTGTACTTTGGTATTTTTTTAATGTTTTTTGATAGGGAGCAAACTCTAACATGTGCAGTTAGCCGAGTCTCCAAAACCTGGTGAAACTCCTGCTTTGCTGTGATAACACTTACGTAGCTAAAAACTGAGGTTTTGCAAACATGCCCACTCTCAGCTGAGGCTTAGAAACCCAGACATTTCTCTCAACTACTGGGCTGTCTCCCTTCCATACATGCACTAGTATGACTGACAGGGCTAATTAATAATAAATTGCCTGTTAATTTCAAGTGGTGCTACAACATGCTCACAACTGTTAGTTTTGCATGACTTCTATTGAATTTTAAACTAAATATATCTAAGATCACTCTCTGTTATCTATCTGTAATGGTAACTACTCAGGACTTTAAGGGATATCTCACTTTTTTTGTGGCTCCTTGATTTTGAGATTCTTATTTTTCAGATGAACTATTTTTTTTCTTGCATATAGTTAAAAAAAAGTATGGATTAAGTGATTCAGTCTTGTGAAGGACAAATTGCAGGAGAGCATTAAACGGAAACAGTGTCTTGCAGAGTTCCAGCACTTCGTAAATATTTAAATAAATAGCCATCAATATTTAGCTGTTCCCAACCTACAGTTTATTACCTGGCTCTTGTTCACCTTTCTATTAAGTGATGTGACCAAAAGCTGAAGAAGAGCTGGGTTTTTCTTTTACCCAATCACTGACAACTGTTCTCCAGCTCAAAATTGAGTGATTGCCAGGGCAGAAACTTACGACATCTGCTTGCTGTCATGGGATTAACTGAATACAAGTGTTTAAATTGCTGCCGTATCAGTTAATGCTGGAAGTCAGCAGAACTCTCTCCTTGCTCTAGGCACAAGATTAGTTATGAACTTTTTTCCATCTAAAACCCCATATAGCTGGCAAATCTTTTAACTTGCATGATTCTGTCTGTGTCTTCTGACACTTCCTAGATCTAGACTGCTGCCTTAGCTGAATTAGTAGGCTGCCTTTTCTGATTATACCAGGGAACCTAAAATAATGAAAGGTAGCTCTGTGTTTCTGTATGCATTCAAAAAACGCCAAAACCCTTCTCAGAGGGCCAAAGAGGGAGAGAGAATGTTGCTTTCTGTAAAAGTCAACAGTTAATCATAACATTCTGCAACAACATAAGAGGAATCTAACATCCATGTTTTCCTAGATCCTTACTCTTGAATTGGAATGCATGCCAAATTTTAATGTATTTTTAAATTAGCATGAGTTAGCTCTTTTAAGGTCTTTCATACTTCTGTCTTCTAACTTCAGATTTATTCCAAGAGCCTAGCTAAGATACAGAGTTTAAAACAGCTAAATCCTGTATACTGTTGAGGAAGCATAAAGTGGCCAAGTTGTTCGTAAAGAGTAGAGTCAAATTCAGCAGCTATTAAACTGAGTTGATGCATTCACTGGTCCATGCCTACCCAGCTGGCACAAAAATGGATGGGTTTTCTTAACACTCTAAGAAACCCCACTGAACAGGAATTAGTATTTCCTAAAGACCCTTTCAGTACGTTTATGATCAGTGGTGTCTGCATAACCAGAAAGAAAGGCATTGGTTATTGTATCAGTTCTTCTCTCTTAAAATAAATCAACAGAATTTTGTTATTAAATCCTTATTCACAAAAAAATCCTAGTTCCTGTTATATAAACCAAGTAACACTATCTGATGTAAAACTCACCTGTTTTCATCAGATTCTATAGTATTATATAGGACCATATTAAAGTGTCACATCATTAAGAGGAAAGGTTTTGCTACTGCACTAACAGTGGCATTACTTTTAAAATCTAACCAAATGTAAAAATATGTCTTAGGACTTGGGGGGTTCCTTTGTTGTGTATTTAGAAACCTTCTCTAGCCGTGACTTGTTACATAATTCAGTATAAACCCATCTTGGTTATAACAACTATGTTGAACTATGCACTCACACTCTTTTCATATTGTAGAAAGTCTTGGTGTTCTCTCTGCACTGCAAACCTGTTGGTTAGTGATGGATCAGCATGGCTTGAGCTTTTATTGCACGAAATAAAATTTCTCCACCAGGGAGCACAATTTTAAATCAAGTCTTTTCTGTCTGCTTTATGCAAGGTTACTCCACTGTGGGATGCATGTGTGAGTTTGGTGGATTTTGAGCTTGACTGGAATAAAATACAGTAAATAAGACCAAAGGATTGAACTTTTTAATCTATGTTTTAGGCTGTGAAGACCTTGTATCAAGACAGTGTCAATGATGCATGGCTGCTCTGGCTTGATGGCATTTTATTGTTCCTTTTGGAAGGAAAATCACTTGCAAGCAGAGCAAGAACAAGTCTTTTATATGCACAGTCTCAGCAATGCATCTGTTTTCTTCATTTAAAGAAAAGAAAAAAAAATCGGGGTTGGGGAGAGTAACTGGTTTTTGGTGTTATTTTAAATATTACCTGTCTTATCCTTGATGTCCCAGCCAGGCTTTACTGACTATCCCATAATGCTGCATAAACGTGCAGACAATATACGGAAAAGGTATTTGGCTCTTTCACAACCTAATACGTTTCTCTACCTCCTGCAGAGCAGCTCTGTAACAATTACATGGGGTCATGCTCTGTTGCAAGTTAGCTTGCAGCCCAAGCATGTAGTACTATTCCTTTGTATGGTCTTGCCATACTGGACTGTCAGGTGCTTCTGTAGTTTCCACTCTGTATAGACAAAAAAAAAAAAATGTGTAAGAGATTAATAAATCCCCTTTATCTTACAGTGCTAGCACGAATAAGCACAATTTTGACAGTGATAAATTCCATGGAGGTATGTTTATGAAATTCATTATATGTTCTAAATATAGTAATATTGAAAACAAAAAATTAAATGTCAGGGAAAGATGATTACGTGGCTGCTTTTCATTGTGCTTGGATTTATTTTGCTATCAGCATTGTGACATGGCCATAAAAACCCGACAGTGGAAGGTAAGAATGATCTTGTCTGCATTTTATAATCGCTGTGGAGATAGACAAGGTGAACTACAGGAGGAAAACAGTGGCTGTGTTACAAAGATACCCTTGGGTGAATGGGTTCTTGTAAGGCTTCCAGATACTTTGTGGTTCTGCAAACTTGGTCAGTCAAGAATCTCAGGCAGTCGTTTTAATTATACTGTACTATGAAATCATCCAGGTAAAGTTTGGCAGCCAGGGAATATGAGCTAGAAGCTAGCTCTTCCTTCCTACCATTTGTATGTTTTCTCAAGAGAACAAACTCTTCACTGGGACTGACTAAAAAGAGTATTTGCAGTACTCTGGTTTACTAGGTTATGCTTCTAGTTTATGGCTCCTGAAGGCAGACTTTGAATTCTAAAATCTGTAAGGTGGGTACATCACACACTAAGGGTTAATGTCAAAGGTGTGGAGTCCTGAAAAACAAAGGCTTTCTGGTCTGTAAGACTGCAGATTGGCTTCAGTGCAGAAAACAAAGATGAACCATAAATAAAATGTTTGTTTTGGTTTTTTTTTTAAACAAGGTTGCTTGGAATATATATTTTTTATTATTTTTCTTAAGTGGAAACTTGCATTTTTAACTCCTTGCTATTGTAGTACCACTCTTACTATGTACCTTTCTGTCTTAATACAGGGGTTGGATCAACAGTATTTAGACCCAAAGTAGTATTCAGTGCTTGAAATTCAGACTTTTAGATGTTCACCTCTACAGCTGAAGTCCCTGTGTGCCTAAAGAGATGCTCTAAGTGGTTGGTCTTTGGGCTTCTGCAGACACTCTGCCCTTTCTTCATCCACAGTAATTTCAGTGGCACACAAGGCCCTAGTTTCTTACATCAGTAGTTTTCCTGCTGATACCCATGTGTTTACAGTGTATACGTAACCCGTTTCCTAGTCCTGTACAGAAAAGGTCCTCTAGGAACTGGCCTGTTGCTTCCTCAATGGAACCTTAAACTGTGGAGTTAAACTTAACCACCATATGCAGCTCTGAGCAAGTTTTGTACTTTGTTATGTGAAAGCAAAGTCTCTGTTATTGTTTAATTCTTCATACTCCAGGAAAGGTGGTCTGAGAGGCTTCATGGATCTGCAGAACTACAGTTGGGAAACTACAGAAAGATCTACAAGTGAGGCAGGTTTAGAAGCTGTGGAGAGGCAATCTGGTATATGCTTAGGAAGAACTAGCAGAGAGCAGAACATGTGCGTGTTGGCGTCTGTTATCTGCAATGCCCAGGAGAGCTTTGTTCATATCAATTAGAAAATACTCATAATATGTGTGTAATTAGTATATTGAGGAAACTGGGCACTTAAACGCATGACTAAGCTGGGACTTTGAGACAAGAGATTGCCAATATAACTTTAATGAATGGTAGTATCCTTGTCCTGTAATGGCTTACAGAACTGTTTCCACTAAATCTGGAGCCACCCAGAAAGCTGGCTTGGGTTGCAGTGGCTGCAGACTGAAGCCGCATCTACATTTGGAAGATGAGATGGCTGCTTTATTTCTATGGAACACAAAACAAATAAAACTTGGAGTTAATACAAAATAGCAGTAGTAAAAGGATATTAGCATTCAGCCTGTTATGCTGCCCAAACTTCAGGGAAGTTAACTAGATCCATCTGACATTCAGCTTCCAGGTGTTGGAGCTGAAAGGCCATGAAGACATCCGTGCACCTGAGAAGGTTTGAGTGACACTCTCCTGGACTCTCTGCAGGCTGAGATGCCAAGAGGTCACCATGGCTACACATTGCCATTAAGACCTTTTCTCCCAATGCTATGTAGAGAAAGGAAATACAAAAGAAAATAGTGAAAGCACTCTGAGTGGGCAGGGACATTACTAGTATGTGTTCTTGTGTCAAAATAGCTCACAACCTGAGGTTCTTGATGCTGAAATAGGACTGCTGCTTTCACCTGGGAACTTACAGATGAGCAAACTCACGTTAAAATAAAATCTGTCCTTTCAGGGAGATTGGGGTGTACAATAACATGGTTTGCTTTGGCCTCTGCACCGCCCAAACCTAGCCCTCACTGGCTCATCAAGCATTTCAGTATGGCTACTGAACTCCTTGTGATTGTCACTTGTTCCATACATCCTGTTTCTGCACATCCTATTAGTATGGCCAAAATCCCAAAATGTTACCCAAAAGCATAGTTCCAGTGGGAGGAAGTTCTCTTAACATAGTTTTAATCCTGTTTAGGCTGTCCCGTTAGTAACAGATGGACAAGAACAACAACTTTGAGGTGTGTGTTGAGACCTGTACAGTAAATTACTCATGAAACCAAGGCCACAAAGGTGTACTGAAACTACTTTACTCAGTGAGTGGTTTTGGTTGTGGGGTTTTTTTTCCCCCCTTTTTGGTTATTAAAACAATGTAAATGGGAAGAATATTCTCTTTGTAACAAATTTTAAGTTTCCTTGGATATTTGCATATACATCCAAACTGAACAAAATCAAAGTCGTTATTACTAAGGGCCTACCCTAATTCAGGAGTGAAAAAAAGAGAGTTGAATTATGTCTTTTACTGGTTTAATATATATGTTTTAATATATATGTATATATTTGGACCTTCATCTTAAGTAACGTGGAAGGAAATAATCCATTCTTTTAAACTGAAATTAGTATGATTGTGCTGGCTTACTGGAAGTGTTTTACAAAAACTTGACTTAAAATCTACATTTAAACTACCAAGAGAGAATTTGGTGTTTTTTTAAGGCTGACATTGGCCTCTAAAGTGGATGACTAATTAATTTTAGATCCTTCATCAAAGAGCTAGAAAAAGTGTTTGGTTACAGGATTAATTTTTTATATATATATATATAAAATAGTGTATTTACATGCATCTGATCTTGCTGGTGCTTAAGACAAACACGTACACTGTACACAACTTACTTGAGCTGAGCCTAAAGGTGAATGAAGACTATACTGATAACCAGTAATTAATCTAATTAATCTCTTCACAGTGAGCTGCCCAAAATGAAGGATTCATAGATTAGGCAAAACAATGGCACTCATTCTAGACAGAAATCTGTTTTTAAAATATCAATCTAATATATGTAAGTTTGAAAGTCCAGTTTCAACATGAGCTGAAGCTGCACGTTAATGGTGAAAGTAACATCCTTTTAAATGCAATTATCCACATTTACCCTGGCAGTCTCTACCACGGGGAAATATTAAAACCTGACTCAATACCTTTGAGGGTGTGATACAAGCTTGAAAACATAATTGAGAAGTAAGGCTTACAGTCCTTCATTAATGCATGCTAATATGACTTTGCTGCTTAATGCCATACGAGGAAGGCTTTCACTAGTTTCTTTCAATTACTTTAAACATCACCTTTGAAAATGTGTTTGACTTGGTTATTCTCTCTGCTGCATAATGTCCAGTGAAGTAGGGTATCTCATGCATAGATTGGTATTTACTGGTTTTCATGTAAGGCTGTTAGTACATGGGGAAAAGTTGCTAGACATG